GAAATTAATGATAAAATGTCAAAACATCGCTTTCTTCTGGATCGTCACAATTCAGCAGACTTGGATGAACATGATAAATCTAAAGTATCTGAAAGAATTAATGAAAAATATAAAGAATTAGAAGAGAGGTAAGTTAACACTAAACTTATATTTTCTGTAAATATGCACTTCTTATACAATCATCACCAAGTTAAAGGCAAACGGAACGAAGGTCTTATAATTTTGCACCATCTTATACACAGATAGAAAACTATTGAAAACCAGGAAGCATTGAACACCAATTTCACCCTAGTATGGAACTCTTTAAAAGTACGCATCCATGATCCCACAGGAGATTCTTATGCTGAAAATTATTATATACTTACTACTAACTACCTTTAGGAGGTAATTCCTAAAGTTATATATATATATATATATATATATATATATATATATATATATATATATATATATATGTTCAAGTACAGGTTAGAGGTCATTTGGGGTTGAGATTAAGAACATAAGAGGTGGGTGATGCATCAGTCAAATGAAGAAATAGAAAACCTAATGTCTCAAAAAAGATTAATTTTCCGAACACGCACATTATTTCAGAACACATTAAAAAAGTATTATTTTAAACAATACAAGCGGTCGTACAGTGCCATTGCCAATTAATAAGAGATTACTCTGACGAATTTGAATAATGTAAGTAACAGATATGCGCTTCCATATTTGAAAGTCTTTCTATCATCATGATTGAGAAATTAATAAACCTCAATAAAGATTGCAGTTTTCAAATAGTTCTCGGAAAGCTCAACAGTTTAATTCATGATAATCCAAGTAACATCTTATACGAATAACTATATGTGAGTTAATCTATAATGTTGCAACAAACTTTCTGTCTAATTAAAAATATACAATTTATTACCAATACTGTTTCATTTAGACCTAATATTTAAGAAAGTCCAGGCTGCTAAGCAAGAATATTTTTCCAAAATATGATCATATAGGGTTTTGCTTCATTTTACCCAATTCAAAATAACAATCAAAACAATCTAACTCCGTGAATGCTTGAAATAAATAAGTGATATGATTGTTTTTTTCACTTAATATCGTAAAGAAATTCAAGGATACTATACTATACATTTTTACTGTCTGATATGGAACTACTCACACTTATTTTAGCCTAATAGTTGTGAACATTGAAATACCAACAAATAAACTATATGTAGTGTAATCTATTTCTGTAGCAAACGTGAACAAAATTTATGGACAACCAAATGTACTTGAACATACAATTATAGAATTTCTTAGTAAAATCTGAGAACCATACAGTAAATACTTCATTTGCAAAATTTCGATCAATTGTTTCAGACTTTATCGTTCCTTTATTTCCATACCAATCACTATGTTCTTGTTCCCTTTTCTTTAATCTTCCCAACATTCTGCCGACAAGCATTCCACTTTCGATTGGCAATGCAAACTACTTATATCTGTCAACATCAGTAGCACACACCACATTTCTATTAAAAATTAACTCATTAGTGATTTAAAATGATAATTTCTTCGTATCTTTAAACAGTTGACTGTTTATATTTAAAAACAATACGATAAGACTGTAGCTACAATTATTCTGAACTTGTGTTTTCTTTTAATCCTGTTCTCACTGTAGAATGCCATGTTTGACTATGTCTGATAGAGCACGTGAAAAGGAAAAACGTACGACTCGTTTTGATCCCACTTTTATCCCGGTAAGTTGAATGTCACCACTTAGGTGGAGTTATTGATTTTGAAATAATATGCTGAAATGATACGATCAACGAACACTTGTTCTAATAGATAGATGGATACGGAAGGAAACCTAAAACCTCAACTAAATAAATAACAATGACAGAATCAATACTGAATTGGATAAATTATTCTTTACGGAAGTAAACTATCGTTCGACTAGTTTTATCCTTTGATTATTGTATGCATTGTCAGATATTTACATTTGTAAACTTAACCTGAAAAGTGCAAAAACACTTACTCTCCCAATATTGTTTTCAATAATAAACGAAATTTCGCACTGCAGTTGCAGTAGAGTTTTTTCAAAAAAAATAATCCTAGAATTGTAATGAAATTAATTGTTCAATACCCAACTTACACTGAAAATACATGAGATCCATTTTCAGTACAATCATTCATCTGGAAAGCTTTAAGTAATTGGATTCCGTTTCAGTATTTATGGATGCTTATTTTAATAGTAATAATAGTTTTATGCAATGCTGTTGTTAGTACAATGTAGAATTCTCGACATGAAATATTGCAACATGTTCGTTCAATTCTTCATGAACTAAATAGATTTATACAAAATTATTTGCGATTCTTATAAACAAAGATCAATAGTTATAACAATGGACAACAGATATGGATGTTTGGAAGCAAAAGTATTTTCAATTAGTTCAATTCTTATCATTATGAATACAGTGGTCTTGAGTGCTGTTAGATGTATGAGGGCGGTTATCAATTCCCGGTTGCCCACACCGTGGAAGGGTTCTTCTGGAGGTACCTGAGAAGGAAATCGGACTAGAGGTGGTCTTAGTGACCTGAGAGCATGACCGCAGTGCCCAAGGGACAGCTGCTTGAAATCGGTCACACACAACCTGGTCCTACGTTGTAGCTGGCTGAGTGACTGACTAACAATTATTATCATGTTTTTTTGTCAAATAGAATTTATGTTAATTTCGATATTACAGAGCACTTGTATTTTTATTCAGGTGAATGATTTCTAATGTAGATGAGTCGTATTTTTCCAAATATCATACCATATACCTTAAAACCATGTAACTTCTATAAACAATTATAATGTTAAGAACATTAAATATTATTTTGTTTCTAAATAAAAACTCCTTATCAGTTAGATTTATTTATTAAGTTATAGTTTGGAAACAAATATCCTTGTTACTTTATAACTTACTCTACTATTATGATATTTTAACTTACATTCATCTATATGCAAAATTTCTCTTGAAAAGATAAACAATGTAAACCGATTCTATCCAATTTTCTAACTGGGATTAGATACATTAAGAACTAGTGAAATTAGTTTATTCTGTAGCAAACGTGAACAAAATTTATGGACAAGCAAATGTACTTGAACATACAATTATAGAATTTCTTAGTAAAATCTAATGTTGTTTTACTTATGATTAATGGTGGAAAACATTAAGTATAAAAATCGACAAACATTTACTTTAGTTGTTTCGTTAAAACTTATAGTTGTCTTTCAGACAAATAACCTCGTAATCTATATTATGAACTAATTAATAAACAATCATTTTATAGTCGAAAAAATAATTTATTCAATTAATGTTCCAGCTGAAAATATCTTAACATTTCTTATTGAAGAAGAACTATTTTCTTGAAAAGATAAACAATGTAAACCGATTCTATCTAACTTTCCAACTGGAATTATATACATTAAGAACTAGTGAGATTAGTTTATTCTTATAGATTGTGTTACAGAACATTCAGGTTTAAATCAATGGCTTAAAAATATACATTAATCAACTTTGTACTTAAATGCAACATATACACTAATACGGGTACAGAGCGCATATTTGGTTGTTGAATCAAGATTCCAGTTGTTCGATTTTGTATACTTCTTAGATACATTCCGTTGTATCATCAAATACACTTGAAAACGCTACACCAAAAGTTCGATATATGTTTTTGAGAATGATCTGTTTCAGATAGTTTTGCTCAACAAATTAAAGGCTGAAAAGATAAGGATTGGAAGAAATGTGATTATGTAAATGAAAAATTTATATGTAAATAAAATAAAAATAACCTGAAAATTCTGTGCAATGATATGGTCATACAGATGTACACATAGGTAGTAGTGTATATATGTAAAAGTCTATAATCAATCATACAAACAAGTTCAAATAACTAGTAGCAACAAGACGATATATTTATTTTCCATATGATTGTCTCACACAACTTCATATATGGGTCTATACTAACTTTTCATTTAAATTCATGTTCCAATTGCGAGCTTAAGCAGAAATACCGTTCTCGATTTTCAAGGTGGATAAACTGAAACTGCCATATTATAAATAAAAACGTAAATACTTAATACTGTTTATTATAAAACGATACGTATAATCATTTTATTTTCTTTATTTTAAAAATCTAGGGATATTCTACTGGTTTAAGTATTATAAACTCTGAACAGAATGCTGAATTACGAGGTCGGATTAAATCATTACTGTTACGAACAAAACGCAGTGGATAAATATCTACTCTTTCAGTGTTTCATTTTATCATGGTCATAACTATATAGGACTTCAATGAAATTCTAATATGAAATATTAATTAGATAACAATTTACCTTTAATAAAGCTTGCTATAAAATTATTTTTTTTGTATTTATGTTAATAAATCACGTTATTGGAAGATTTCCTGTGTGTATTATTGGTTAATGAAACAACAGGATTTTAACCAAATCGTATGAAATTAGAAATAATTTGATTAGTTACGTGAGATCTATGGAATAAACATACTCTGAATAAGATAAACAACAACTAACTACTCCAAGTAAATGAATCAATAAAAATTATTTAATAGACACCTAGTTAAGAATTCTGAAAAGTTTAACATTACACTCAACCGTTGGATGCCGGCTCAGTGGTCTAGTTGGTTAAGCGCCTGGCGCAAGACTGATAGGTCCTGGGTTCGAAACTCGCGGGGTGCGGGGTCGTGGGTGCGCACTGCTGAGGAGTCTCACAGTAGGACGAAATGGCCATACAGTGCTCCCAGGTTTTCTATGGTGGTCTAGCTTCAATTGACTCATGATTTCAACCAGTGAAATTCTTAAGATATCTCTTGAAAAATAATTTTTATATTTTTGTTAAGAAAAGATGTAGTTAGACATCCAGTCAATAAAATATAGATAAGTGATCACATTTGATATAGAAACTTATGAAATATATTCTATGAAGTAATCGGTAGAATTGATTGTAAGTATATAACCAATCGGGAATGTAGCTTGTATTTTAGATTAAGAAATGGAGTTATACTTCAGCTTATATAAAGTCTATTATTATCACATATAAGATGATGACCTAGTAGATAAAAAACGTTTAACAGAAATATGAACATGCCGAAAATTAACATAGTTTACGAGAAACAATATTACTGCATTTAACATTTGCGGAATCAAATGAAGATATTTTACTTTAAAGTTCCTCATCAGGACCAGGCAATATAAGGCATTCCGTATAATTAACAAACAGCAAGCATCACCCGGACTTCGTTTTGCAAAGGCCACTGGCATTAAACTACTCCGACAGAAGAAAAGCGCGATCAGTCTTCCTTTGTCATGATAAGTATAACTGCACACAGATAATCTTGTTACATTCACATACTTCAACCTTTCCGTCAATATTCACTCATTAATTTGATCCCCGCTTTATTCATGTCAATTGATGGTACATCCACTTATTCTTACCATCATTATGTAATCCCTCATTTTTATTATAATTTCTAGTAAATAAATGCTTACCTCACCTATTGTAATATACTTTTTTTATATATTCAACGGTCCCTTTCGACTTCACTTAATATATATCTTGAACCTTTTACTTCTTATGATTTCCCGTCACGCATCAAATCTTCAACTCAGCATCATTAACCAAAGTATGTCAAAGCATTGCTTATCATCATATTATCGTTTATGACATTACGTTGCTTACAGCTGACGAGAGGTCTTGAGGTAGGTTGAATTCATTTTCTCCTGAGAATTCTGCCCGCTCTTTATACAGGAATTCACCAGTTCATACATTAAGCAGTAGCACAATTTAGAAAGTGAGGACTATTGACGCCAGCCCAAATCAATATCATTGCCAAAATAAGTTACTATTGTTATTTGCGCATCTGAAATCTGTTCCGATTGATTATTTTCTTGTAAAATACCATAATACCTTTTTTGGAGACATAAAAGGTCTCTGGTATTGTCCTGTCTTTGTTTTTACTTATATAGGGTAGACAACGATGAAATGTTGTTGTGCATTAGTCGTTGATGTATCTAATTAAGTTACATCCAATATTGCAATCCCTTTGTTCGTATGTCTGGTCACGACAGTTACCAAAATACAACAAGGATAAATTGTACTACACAATAACCACCTAAATTGAAGCAGTTATAGTTAACAGTTGATAACCTGGGGATTATAGTCATAAACTCATTGAAGATTATAAAACTTAATGTACACTTATACTTGCCAACCAAAGTGAAGATTTAATATGACAGAATAGATTATAATAATAAGAAAATATCCACTTGGATGTACAGGATTTATTTTCCAGTAAATTTATTGCCAACATCATGAAGAGGAAGAAGAATAAAACTGTACTACTTTTCAAAAGTATTCATAACTTCCATATAATCAAGAGCTGAGTTTTCATACTTGGTTATCTATGTAAAATTGTACATATTATTATATATGAAAAGAGAATTTATTTTTGTTTTTCATTTATTAAAAAAAAACCATTCTGAAACATGTCCAAATGAAGATTTAAAACTGAATGAATGTTTGGAGTGATTTTCAAAGAAAATAATTGTAAATTGGTAATGTCAATCTATATGTTTCCTAATATGTGAGCTATTGAAAACAAAGAAGGTACATGCACATACATGCAATAATAATAAACAAATATATTATCATTATTACTATTGTACATGATTGATCATATTCTAGAAAATAATTCGCTTCGTGTATACTGGACCTGAACTGTAACGTAATAAAACAGAGTTTTTGCTGCTGCTGCAAAGAAAAAAAGAAATACTTATTGGATAAAATAAATAGACTAGAATTTTATTATTGTGCATTAAGGAAAAAAAGAATCCATTTAATGATAAAAGGCCTCTGTGGTGCTTGTAATGGAGTAAATAAAGATAGTTTAAAATAGACAGAGGGAAAAAAACGAGCAAGGGAAAAAGTGAAGGAAGCATAGGAAAGTTTGATAAAAATGTAAAAGTCTGATGGAATAAACAAAATGTGCCTGAAAAAGACTTTAAAAAAACAAGTAAATATTTACATAATTGAACTGGAAGACACTGTGTAATGAAGTAGAGAGGATATAGAAAACAGAAAATAGTATGTAATCAATTAATCTGCTCATTTCTTGACAAAAATAAATAAGAATATGATCACAATGCAGTGCAGTTGATATATCATTATTGATGTGATGATGATGGTGACAAACCAGTAGGAGACATTGATGAAGAACTAGACGGAGAAAGTGTGCCGAATCCACGCCATTTCCATGAAGAAAGTGGATGATTTTTAATTTTTTCTTTACGCTGTTGTTGTTGTTGTTCTGCTTTAATACGAGCTTTTTCCATTTTAGCTAATCTTTTTTGTTGAGCAAGTTCAGCTTTTTTAGCTTTGAAATTAGAAAACGATTTGAATATAGAAGGAATCTTATTCGAAGTATTTGATATTCCAGAGATTTTATTTGATGGTACACGAGGTAATGTGGATACAGCATCAGAAAGTTGACTGTGTTTAATTGTATTACGATTGAGTGTTGCCTCTGGAGATGAACAAGAATCTGGTGAGTTTGAAACTCCTGGTAAAGTCGACTTTTCATCTAATAAGAAAAATATTGAAAAAAAATTGTTCGGTAGAAATATATTTCATACAAACAATTTTTGGTGAATGTGTACGTGTGTGCAACAAATCACTTGCAAATATTTCAAATCTATATAATTCACTTCAAAAACAAGAATTCGTTTGGACCTAAAGATGTTACACTATCAAGAAGAGTACCAATACTAAAACAAACGTAATTACAACTAGATTGGATTATTTTGACATCTATGATAGACTAATATACAATGATTAAACTTTAAAAATTTACAGTGTTGACTGTCATGTGACTGATCTCAGAGCTAAAACATAAGGTTTTTAAAGATGTTAATTAATTGGGCTAATTAAAATAGGAGAACGAAAAATTCACAAAAACTTCAGAGGCATCAGAGATATGTAGGTAAACTGTGAGATCAACCTGAAAAAAACGTTCTTGTATCCTCATTTAATAAAGTAACGAAATAAAGTACAGTATCGATTAATACAAATATCTAAACTAAATCTGATGGATAATTCACTAAGTAATTATTTAAAAATATGGAGAGTTTGATTAGTGTTAGATTTCTATGATGAAACCAGTGCATTATTCTAGGTTTTACGAATTATGTACAGTAGAGCACTAACATTTTGCTCTGGTGTATAAGCATAATGTGTGTAGATAATATATGAAGAGTGAATGTTTTTGTAGACAAGTGAATTTACCTATGTAATAACTTAGCTAGCAGGTACGTTATGATCATAACGCTAACAAATTATGGTTCAATAGGTATATGTAATCTTAACAAATAAAAAAGTATTCTGATATAAATTAGGAATGTGATGATTGTATCGAAGTGTTCAACAACAGGGTTCGATTCAAAATATTTAAAAAAAAAAAACAACTGGATGGGAGCTTAAAACTTTGGTGATATATCTGTAATCTGTAATGTATTGGCAAGAAAGAAAAAAAGCAAGAGGATTGTGAAAAACTAAACTTTTTGAAGAGGAAACGGGCTATATGAAGATTAGTTTTAGTATTATAACCACATGAATACGTGATTTATTTAAGCAAAAATTAACAAACTTATGTAAGAGTTGGATCAATAAACCTTTTATACATAAATGCAAGGTTGAAGTACTAATGGGTGACTAGTTGCAGATTGGAACACATATAAGGGTTTTTATTAATCTGTTTTCGAAATCCAGGACCGCAATTGATCAGTCTTTGTTGACATGACGTTATCCTGAGAAAAGACCTTTATATAGCCTCTTTGTTACAAGCTCCAATATACGTAGATTGTGACTAGCAGTGGGATACAGGAATGCCAACGAAGAAATACAAATCCTGAAGAACAAACTTCATACGTAACCTATTGAACAAGTTAGTGATTAACTAAACTAAGTATTTCATTAGGGTTTGGAGCAATCAATATAACGTTTGAATTTCTATACAAACAATTATTCTAAGATGTAGGTAAATCCAGCCAGTGTAACGCAAATAGAACGAGAAGTGCAGTCCGGATTCCGCTATTAGTTATAATTCAAATTAGTAGGACTTCCGTAGCAGTGGTTGTATGCAAGTGGCCATGTGAGAGCATTTCGAGAGTGAGAACGAACTTTCCCCACTCTCGGCCGTACGAGGGCATTTGGGGGAAAATCCCCTACAATATTACGACCTTCATGTACTTATTAATTTATTACACATAAATTCTGGTACAACTAGGCAATAAAAATAAATATTCCCCACACGAATAAGGAAATGAATTCTTGGAGCGACATAGAGGTGGAGGATGATTAAAAATAAATGAATAAAAGTCGACGAAAGTAGTGTATACTGGGGGACTGTTTGAATACATGGGATACCTGTTCCTGCCATCTCGATATTTCAAAAAGTTACCTGTTTTTGCGCATTTATGAAAATTTCACAACGTTTCTCTGTATAACTTACAAAAAAACAATCAGAGACATAATGGTGACTGGCAGTATGCATTGAAAAGAATGAACATTGTTCAGATGTCGATACATGAAGTGCTAACATCTAACTGGCGATCACTAACTGGCAAGGTTGACTGTTTTCAATTCCTATTAATTTTAAGCATGTATCGTAATTGTGGTGTAGTCGCAATTCAGGAATCCTGGTTAAATGATTTACAAAAAAATTTTTTAGTATCACTACAAGATTTTAATATCTATCATTAGTATCGATCAAGAAAGGAAAATTCGCTGAAACACTGTGCTGAGAATCCCATGTCGTACCAAAAATAGAATATTGAATGAAGTCATCAATAATAATAATAATAATAATAATAATAATAATAATAATAATAATAATAATAATAATAATAATAATAATAATAATAATAATAATAATAATAATAATAATAATAATAATAATAATAATAATAATAATAATAATAATAATAATAATAATAATAATAATAATAATAATAATAATAATAATAATAATAATAATAATAATAATAATAATAATAATAATAATAATAATAATAATAATAATAATAATAATAATAATAATAATAATAATAATAATAATAATAATAATAATAATAATAATAATAATAATAATAATAATAATAATAATAATAATAATAATAATAATAATAATAATAATAATAATAATAATAATAATAATAATAATAATAATAATAATAATAATAATAATAATAATAATAATAATAATAATAATAATAATAATAATAATAATAATAATAATAATAATAATAATAATAATAATAATAATAATAATAATAATAATAATAATAATAATAATAATAATAATAATAATAATAATAATAATAATAATAATAATAATAATAATAATAATAATAATAATAATAATAATAATAATAATAATAATAATAATAATAATAATAATAATAATAATAATAATAATAATAATAATAATAATAATAATAATAATAATAATAATAATAATAATAATAATAATAATAATAATAATAATAATAATAATAATAATAATAATAATAATAATAATAATAATAATAATAATAATAATAATAATAATAATAATAATAATAATAATAATAATAATAATAATAATAATAATAATAATAATAATAATAATAATAATAATAATAATAATAATAATAATAATAATAATAATAATAATAATAATAATAATAATAATAATAATAATAATAATAATAATAATAATAATAATAATAATAATAATAATAATAATAATAATAATAATAATAATAATAATAATAATAATAATAATAATAATAATAATAATAATAATAATAATAATAATAATAATAATAATAATAATAATAATAATAATAATAATAATAATAATAATAATAATAATAATAATAATAATAATAATAATAATAATAATAATAATAATAATAATAATAATAATAATAATAATAATAATAATAATAATAATAATAATAATAATAATAATAATAATAATAATAATAATAATAATAATAATAATAATAATAATAATAATAATAATAATAATAATAATAATACTAATAATAATAATAATAATAATAGTCCAGTTGAAAATACAACGGAGAAGCCTTTCAATTAAGAGAGTCTTAACCACATTTTATGAAGAATGTAAAGGAAAATTAAGGCGGGATTACCATTAGTTTTTGTTCTGAGTTATGTCTAATAACTTCTAAAGCCACCGAGATGCATTGTATCTAAGACCTGAACCAGCGAGTCAAGATAGACCCACAAATCCTAGTCCTATACAGCCTCCTTTGATACCTCGGCACCATATAATAAACTGACCGCCTTTCTGCCTTATTCACCCGAGCCCCAAAATGGCAAATAGAGATATGGAAATCTCTGGAATAAATCCGTACGACATGCCCAAGCTACTGAAACTGGTGTTTCAAGATGGTGACACTAGTTACATTGTGATTATTGAGCTGGAACGCAAACTGCCGAACCTCAGAATTACTAATGTGGTGTTGTCGCTGGATGTCAGCAATCCTTTGGAGACAACGATTACCAAACACAGAAAGTCGTTGAACATAACCAACTCAGAGAGAACAGATTTTCCAAGTATATAGCATAACTGCTCATAAAGATTGCTACGTTTAAAGAGATTACGATATCACCTAAAACCGGCGAACGGTCAGTAATACAACAGGACAAGCAAAACAATTACACTGCTCTCAGTCCTACTAAATAGAGGGAGAAGACCAGATTCAGCCGAGGGAAATGTATATTTCACAAGCAGTCGGAAGTATGAACGAACAAGCAAAATGCTAAAATGTTCTTAGAAAACTTTACAAAATAGCGTACTAAAAGAGGAAACAAACCGGTGGCATTTAAGGTTCTTCTAAGCGGGAAATACAAACTGAAGGTAAAAGTGGATGCTTTTCGTAACTGAGAAATTCAAATTTCCAAAATAAAGTTACAAAAATAAGACGTTTACCAAGTGGTTTATGGGGACCTAGCATCCCCAACCACGACACGTTATAAGCCCGGAGTTTTACAACCAAACCAACATCAAGACAACCTTGAAAATGGCCCAGATTGGTATAAGTCACTCTAACTTTTAATTTCATCACCGACGCCATTATCAGAACTCATACAACGACCCAGATATACTAAAGTTTCAACTACATCTAACGGATCGCTTCAGAGGTTGAGTACAAGTACATGTTCTTCTCGTCTTTGAGCTGGACGTTTTATTTGGTGGTTAATAATACTACTACTAATATCCGGTTTTCCAAACTAGGTGCGTAAAACAAGAACCTGAAACATATTTTGAAGTTGAGTGGATAGCCAACTAAGCTGCTACTAACATAATAGTAAAGTTGTTTATGTCATGATACTTTAATGTCCATGTAAAGTACACACAAATCAGGGCTAATGTAACATACTAAGACCATTTAAATATCCTTTATGATCTGTATTATATTTCACTTCAGTTCACGAGATATCTAAAATATTTTTAAACATGATCAATCTCTTTAAAATTACAAATTAAAGATATGTGAAAGGATAAAATGATTCTCGAAAGTTCGGATGAACGAAGATGAACAAATTTTAAAATATCTCTTATTGACATATATCAACTGAACACTACACACTAATATTATTTTTATCCGTTTTAATAAAAAAAAACAATCGGTACAAATAAACTCACAAATTTGCAACATATACAGACAAGCTTTAACAGGGACACCGTGATTTTTATATTACTTGTTCGGTTTATGGAACATCACAGTAACGAGAATTTTCAGGATATCAATGTAAACCATGATCGATGTTTTGTTTATACTTAATGTCAGCAGAACAAGTTAAGAAATGAAATACTTTAGGTGCGTAAATTCAATGTGTGCATATATGTGTGTGTGCATTTCAGTTGCGTAGGAGTGATATAGCTTACCAAATCAATAACCATAAGATTGATGAATATTTCCCTTTTGTCTAAAACCGAACACTATGTAAGCTAACAAAAGAAATGTCAAAATTAACATAGAAACAATACTGTAAATTGTCAATTGGTTCTACACACACAATATATGTTACATTGATAGCTAAGAAAGTGGGAAATATAAACTTTAAAGAAAATATCTTATCATCATTATTAGCGCCCTTTTTCATATCATGATTTTTTGAACAAATTTCAATGGTCTACAAACAATCAATAAATTGTGCTGAAATAAAATAGAATAAATCCATCTGAGAGTGCAAACAAATCTCTAACAGCATGAAACCAAACACAATAATATCCTATCTTCACATACAAAAAGTATGTAACAAAAATTAAAATGTTACGAAATCTAAGACATCATCGATTTCAAACCAACAACGGCATGAATAATTCAAAACATGAAATACCATATCTAACACTAACCATAAAATGATGGATTACAATAAAAACATTGAATGATAAGTAGAGGAATCTTTTGTTTTAACGAATTAAGATGTCTTATATTTTTTTCATTCTTCCTGTTGAGTTTGTGGCCGACGAAATCTCAACGTGGATACGAAACCACTCTATTCCTTTTGTAACACCTGTGGCACAGGCTAAATGTTCATCTGTGAGTATACTCCACAGTAATTTGCTTAATATTTCTTAGAGATTGGGAAATATGATTTATGAAACTTTAAGAAATGAATAAGCTGTTAGTAAGCGATCACAGTTGTCATCAAGGTACTGAAAGTATATGGTGAAATTACCAGATAAGTAGCTCAGACTTTAAATTTAGGGTTCCAGGTAAAAATGACAAATCTACTGACTAAGTTGTAAACGTTCATCGGTCAGGATGGTTGTGAGATTTGTTGCATGTCCCCAGTTAACATCCATTCAGGCATGCTATGTTGCCTAATATAAGGATGGTTAAAAGGAGGACTAAGAGAAATCAGAAGAAAACCCGGTCTCCATCCAAGAAGAGATTGAATAATGATCTGAGCCGTTTGGTGATATATAGAGAACAACCACGTAATTGTAGTTCATGATTGAAGAACTTAGGTGATGTGGTTTAAAGGCAATTCCTATATGACCCAAAACGACAACATAACGGAAGACTCTTCGAGATCGTTTACCCATGTTTTTACTCTTCTCACAGCTATAAGTATAGTAACTTTTCAACTAGTTCTACATAAATCAAGTATCGTATGTGGAAACCGAATGATCACTTCAAAAGGATTAGTTTTAAAACGAGTATTCCATATGATCTACGAAAATTCATTATTTAACATATAATACATTGATTTGATCTGGATTAAACGATTCCATTGAATCAATACTTTCAAGCGAAAAAGCGCTAAACAAATTTCGCTATCGTTCATTATCATTAACACAGTTACAACCATACAAAAAACGCATTGTTTGAAAGTTCACTCGGATAGTCTCGATGTAGTTGAAATGAAAACTGCCACAGACAATATTATCATCATTATTATTCTGTATGGCAGACATTTTTATCAATTAAAAGATTTCATAATCAAAGTAATGTACTTGTATATTAACGAAATCATTGACAAAAATTATAAACATGGAAGCCGTAGATGCGTATTCATACTCAAATTAGTCGTATTCTGCTATCACTGAGTATCAATTATTATTATTTAGACAGATTTCATCCTAATGTTTTCCGGTTTCTTTCATTTAAGCTAATGTGACCAAGTGAATCATTGTGCGGTTTGAGTCACCTATTTCTATGACTGCAAATAATGTAATAAACACTGTTGCGAATACTTCCAAAAAATGTTTTTCAGTCATTAAAATTTGAATGCATGATACGCGGAAATATTTTGCAATATTGCACAGTTGGTGCTGAAAATTCTTTACAGTAACAAATCTTATGGTACTGGATACGTCTGTTATTTATTATTATTATTATTAAAAACAAGCTAATAATCATACCCTTATTATGATATACAATCTCAATGATATTTAATACATCTGTTTGTCGTTGGTAATCTTTCTTAACCGAGAAATTTTTTGACGGTAAGAATAATTCAACGTTTAATATAAAGTAGATATACTACTCAGTAAATCAAATTTTATCAAATAGGTTATTAGTAAACACTAAACATAAGAAATTTAACTGAATCTAACCGTTTAAATCTATCTGTTTGTTTGTTTTACGAAATAATGTTGGCGAAACCGGTGCAGACAATGAATCCATACAAGAATAGGCATTAAATTCCAAATTTTCATCGCATGATTGTTTAGTTATCTCTTCATTTTCATATCGTTCAGCAATTACAGTGGTTACATCCGAAGTAACAGAATTGAATTGACAATTGAATGATTTATCTAAAGATTTAAATTTATTATTATGTAGTTCCATTAAACGTTTTATTTCTTTCCTGCGTATTTCATATTTCATTTCAATACGTCTACGATAATCACTTTCTTCACGATTCAATATTCCCAAAAATGTATACAATTCTGATAAACTAAATGTGGTCCACTAAGAATGGGAAAGAAAACAAAGTAGAGGCATTATCTTGTAATATATATAGTATGATGAGCTGAGTTCAACATCCCTTCTCAGTAAAAATGTAATCGTATAAACAACTTGATGGAACTGTATGCTAACTTAAGATTAGTGGCGATGAAATATTTAGCTACAGCTTTTGTGATATTATGCTTTAAATGATAACTAATGTGCCATTAAAGGCTCTAGTATCAACCAGAGCTTTCAACCAGCAAGTTGCGGATTCAAATTAAGCTCCATCTATTTATATATCGGGTAAGTAATATCAGTGGCAGTCAGATGAGTAGTGTGGCTCAAGGCAAAGTACATAGCTACCTACTTGGTAGAGGAGTTACATAATACTTCAAACCTTGGTGGAGATATGGTCAATAGGTTAGGGCACGCAAGTTCCAGTTACTAAGTCCCATATTTAAACCCCATTCAACTTGGACTTGAGAGAATTTATGGTAACACTAACCTCCATGTGAAAAGTATGGCTTGAAACAGAGTATTTGGAGGTGTACTTAGTAAATACGTTCCACTAACAAGTCTACCATAGTATACATTTGAATATGAGAACACAGTGTTTTCTTGTCCAGTTCCGACTGCAAACCTTGGTTTAAAAAATGACCAGAAAATAGTATCTAATGAAACACCTCAGGGAAAATATTATCCTACTGCACCGTTCACATTTTCATTCATCACCACCTCAAAGATATTACAGAACTTATACCTGAATTCCAATAAAAGTTATCAGTTAAAAATTAAATCCAGATACTTTTTTACATGAAAGTTCTTAGTATTTGAATGCAACGAGCACAATATATCTATCCACAAACAGTAGAAAATTTTATGCTTTTAATTGTTTCGTAAAAACAATACAGTGATATATACGAATACTCCTCAAGATTAGAACGAATAGTTTGACAGAAATTGGGCGCCGAGTATAGAGAAGTCATTATATGTGAAAATTATATTTGAAATAATCTCAGGGATTGAAATTAAAATTTAATTTTGATTATTACCCCGAAGAAGTCCAGACAAGTTAGCTGGACGAAACGTTGGAATTATTTAAATTTCAATCGCTGAGATCATTTCAAATATAATTTTCACATATAGTACAGTGATAGTCTGATAACAAGCACATTCATCCCAAAAGTTTATAAATCCCATTTTAAAAAATCCAATCAGTCTATAAACACAAACAGCTTGTAGACTAAATATGATTCGATAAACAACTACTAAGTAATAGGCTTATTCAAAGTGTCCAAATCAGCTGATTAATAAAATACATGTACACAACAAACATGAAGTTATTGACATATTTTTTGAGTTGCATTTATTTTATTATCACATACAAGTACAATTGTTTGCATTGAGCATATTTTCAATGAGAAATTTTCTTAATGAAAAGCTATTATTGGGATGTTTAGAAGAAAACGACATATTTCTAGTTGAATTGTAATTTGTAAAAAAAATAATGATTGAAATCTTAGATGCCTAAGCAAATCTACTTGAGGTAGTATAAATGTTGAAGCCTTCTCAAAAGTCATTGATATTTAATGATTCAATGTTTTTATAGTTGATTTATCAATAAAGTAAATTGCTCAAATTATTACGAATTTGTCATAAAACAGTTAGAACTTAATACGTATATTTTTAATACATCGAGCTATCCGTTTAACTGAGATATTGAATTGATATAAATGGACCACCTCCAAGCTACAAACAGCTTTCTGTGAAATTTCTGAAATAACAAAGATGAACGTATTTAGGTTAAAGCCAAGCTGATAAATAACTTGAACAGACAGGCAGCACACATTGAAAGGATTTGTCTTGATAGAAGATTTGACAGTGTGCTCGGAAAAATATTGTAATCAAATAGGGAATAAAACCTGTGTGTACCGTCGTAACATATTTAAATTAATTACCATGTATAGGTTATTATTATACAAGGTTTTGAGCTACATAATTTGCTGACGAAGGGTCAGGATGCTTGCTGTCTCGTTCTACAAATCGAAGTGGGGGTAGCGGACGTACGTGAAATGCAGCGGTTAATCGTCATGTTCTGTAACCATTGAGGCAGTGATGTCTCGTAGGTAGATATACTGTGGATAATGATTAATTGTCCTTTTTAGATGATTGGTAAACCTCGCCTGTAACCATTCTAGGGTCACTACCGGTCCCAAGCCCGGACAAAGGAGTGTCAAGCATGGGGTAAGCAACTTCATCCCTCAGAAAATAACATTGCTGAAAAAAACACTAACCAGAGAAACCCTGGTCGACAGGCTGTACTCTCACGAGAGGTGGGTAACAGGCGTAAGTAAGCAGGATGATTGATAACACACAAGTAATAAATAACTTACTTCAATATCACCAGTTTCATTCTCTTGTAATACTAATCGCTTCACACTCAGAATGTTGTTAAAATTACTTGGATCTTGATCGACCCACTTGAATAGTAACCCCAACGGTGATTCATTATCAAATAATTTTCGTACAGAAACTAAAGGATAAAAGAGAAGTTGAATGTAATCAAAACTGTCTTCAATTACATTTATAATTTTTGAAGAGCGGAGATAGTTAATGCTCAATGGAAATTTGATTGAAAGAGAAGAAACTAATATGAGGAAAAGTTTATAACTGGAACACATTAAGTAAGAAAAGGTTTAATGTAAGCAGTTTTGGGACTACACACACACTTTGTACAAAAGATAATCAAACTACTCAATCATCTAAACCGAAATCGATAGAGCAATGAGTTCGGATTAGTATAATTACTATAAGCTAAGAGATAAGCAGGTAACATGGATACGCAGATTGATCACCGAGTAATCAACAATATTATGCTTCTTTAATCCTTTGTGAAGATTAAATTCGATCGACCAATTTTTAATGTGGTCATTAGTCTAGGTAACTCGAAATCCTGTTCACTATTTTTCAATGCTAGACAGAGTCAAATGGTAATTGTAACCTAGTAACCTAATTTGAATGTTTATAAGGTTGAACAAAAAGAAAATATGGATCATGTACGTTAATCTAATAAGAGTAACACTTGTAAAATATTATGAGTTCATGCATAAATACACATGTAAACCAAAGTTATGCAACAATTTAAGCCTCCGGTAAACAATTGTAACAAGCTAAATGGTTGTCTTTTGCATATAATGTAAAGGTTACTAGACAAATATGGAATTGAAGTATCAAACAGAAGTGATATTTTATACAATAATCTATGCCATAAACATGGATTATGATAACAACATTCAGTCAGCAGACACACGGATACCTAAACAAACACTATCATGAAAAATACACTGGATTTGGAAGAAAAATGAACAAAAGTTAGCTAAGCACTGTTCGTAGAAGCAATAAAAACGATTGGTGCAGTTAAAATTTAAACTAAAAATCCTATTTAACAGGTTAACAATCTAATAGCTCATTAGAATTTTCATCGATTAGAATTTTTAGGCAAATCAGAATTAGTCTATACTTTAGTCGAAGTAGCGGTAACTTCCAAATATTAAGCTGCGGGTTCGAATCTCTCACAGTTTTAAATCCTATACACCATTTTTTTCTGCGGTTTATTAAAAACCAAGATAAACCTAGCTGCCTAGTGAAACTAATTTTTATGATGATCCCGGAACAAAAATTGGAATAGGAAATTTAGAACACAGCCTAAAGGTCATGACTCAATATAGTCCAGTGTTAAATTTGTTGGATTCGTTAGCTGATAAGTAGAATTTTTTTACAATCTTTGTAAGTAACCTAGCACTGCTGTGATACAATAGTTTCAAAGATATTACTCCTGAGACTGATTGAAAACAAATATAGGTCCATTTATTCCATTGCACATTTAATCCATTAATAGAAAATTTAAGAAAGTAGGTTACAAGCTATTTATCTAAACTCTGAAATAAGTGAATTAATTTGCAAAATGTTGTCATCAAGAAAAAACATGATATAGAGGACGATTAAAAACTATAGAACACTGTGTGGTTAGTCATTTCCCGATTTTAGGATCTATAGGAATGACTAATTTTAGCTTAAGAACAACACTGAATCCAGGATTTATATGTTTCACAATAAGCATTCTGTGCTTGGATTACTGCTAAAATCCACTGACTTCATCCAAATCGTGATATAGTAAAGCCATTCAATGTAATTCATGTACAATGTTAAATATGTGGGAAACTCCTCTTGTTAATAAACAATCGAGACAAAATTGTCAAGTCCAATATGAACAGTGCAAGTGTAGCGAGTGTTTACTTTACTGACCTACTGTGTGTTCATCCCTAGCCCCCTCAGCAATAAGAATAATATCAAAACACAACCAAGTGAAAAGCTAATACATAATTACAACCCAACACACTATGAATACCGTAAACTATGCTTCAACACTTTAATGATCTAATCATCTGTTTTAGAAAGACATATTAAAATATTACAGTACATCACATGACATCGTTATAACTGACCTTTCTGATCACCTTCAATTGTGTGTTCATATAAAGCAAACTTTTGAGGATTATCTCGTATACCAAATCGATCAAGTAGTGCACAAATAACCATTTGTGCAGTTGTCGATCTATAGAATAAAATAAATGCACAAGAAATAAACTACTTTTTTTTTCTTTTAAAGCAATTCACATCAGTACTTCACACACAGAGAAAGATAATCAACATACATCTATTTGAGCTATTTATCAATTAAAAAGCTCTTTTAAATAAAATCCATTGAAAATTAAATATATTTCAAATTAACAACTATGCGATATATCATCATTGAAATAGTGCTCTTTACTAACAAACTATTATATTGATTATCACTTTACACTAAATCAGTAGAAAAGTATGAGTTTGTATATCAAGTGATAAACAATGAAATCATTAAAATTAAATAAAAATATCACTTAAACTCGTCATGTTTATTAATTTATGAACAATAAATAGGTTGAAAGATAATGTATACATACACGTTAAAATTTTATAACTTATTTCTTCTAAAATTTGTGTACAAAATGAACTGAGTAGAACGAACTCATTTACCAAGTACGGATTAGTGTGTATTCATCTTTTCATTACACTTTATGTGTATAGCCCAGTGATATTACTTGGCTGGTGTAAGCGAAGTAGGTGGAGAGGGATCCGAACTGACCACCTAATAGTTGAGATTTAAACGCCCTAAACACTAAGCTACCGCTCGATAAACCATAGAGAATTAAGCAATCAATTCTCCTAATTTATGTTTGGGACACTTTAACTGTATTTACCCACAAGTTCATATGGAACAGAAACTAGGATTCGCATATTCACGGTAAGCTCATATTGAATATATTACATGTCAAGAACAAAATATTAAGTTTCTACTTTACACTCATAGAACAGAAGTAACTTACAGTCGAACATGCAACAATTTTGTGCTTCCTCTTGGTAACCGAAAAGTAGATAATGTTGAAGTTGTTCTACCTAACCGACGATGTGACTCAACAATATTTCCATCAGCTTTATGCACTTTATTATTTGGTGAAAAATATGGGATGTTGGCTGATACAAAGGAATGTGGTGTATTAGAAGGGTGTTGTTTCGAAACAAGATGGCAGTTATTATTGTTGTCGCCTTGGACCAACCAAAGATTCTGATCATCTTCAGATCGATCACTAACATCTGCCCCATCGTCATCTTCATTATCATCATCATCATCATCATCATCATCTGTTTCATCACTTTTTGCACCAACTACGTCGAAAATGGAAGCTGGTCTAGCTGTAAGTAACATTTGAATAGGGCGGAGTAAGTTTATATGTACACGAACTTGACCTTCGCAATCACATGAATCAGCACCAGTTAGCTGTAAACGGAAAAATATAATAACCCTGTAGTAAACAGAACACTGGAAATACACAGGATAAACATTAAAGTTGACGAACTATCTTCGACCACTTTATTTATCTGAACACATAAATATTGGTACAAAGGGGGCGCCGAATACATATGCGCCACACAAGTCACTTGATTTGTATGTAGGCTGTGGTACATTGGTCCATTGGTCCAAACAATTCATCTGGCAACCGAGTTTGAGGCTCCATAGTAAATTTGAGAACTATCTCACTTCAATTGTTAAAGCCTTCATAAATATGATTGATATCTAATGTTTTCCATAAACCCAGTAACAAATATCAGATCATTCGACCAAAGGCTCAGATAAAAAGAGTGTAACCGTTAAATTTACCTCTACATTCAAAAAGACGGTTACAATTCTTCATCAAATTAGATGGAATGATATAATTTACGCAGGAAAACCATATTAGGTTTAGTGTTTGAATAAATAAACAGTCTGACATGCAAGCTACACTGCAAGTACATTATTAAAGTGAGCTCATATCAATGAAATCATGGTAATCAATGCAACACATTTTCCAAGGACACATTTATCTGCTCGTCTTCAAGTAACTTCCCAATGTGAAGGCTAGTGATACTACATAACAGACCAAACCAAAGGTAGAGGGAGCCGGATTCAAACCACTAAACTAATGAGTCAAAATCAAAGTGGCTTCATATACTAAGAAAAAATAATACTCGAGTGTTTAACATGGTCCAATAAGACTGATCACAAGAAGTGACACTGAAGTTGTTGTATTCATACACTTCACGATTACTGATGGATTGACAGCCAATATGATGAACAGGTAATTAACTGATCACAGTGCAAGTAATACACGAAATCGACTTTTTTCCACTCGTCTGTGATAGATAACTACATACCAGAAGGAAGTTATGATATAACTTAGTCTGTTAAGTCTATCTGCTGGTTACAGATGCTTAACAGTATAACATTATAAGTATATGTTCACAAAGTAAATTTTTGATTAATCGATACGACTCGTCAAAGTATACAAATCTGATTGTTAATCTAACTGTAAATAAATCATATGAAAAGTGGTGTATTCATATATCATTTTGATCTATCTTGGGCGCAAAATATATTCTGATTTATGGTCCTTGTGTTTTACTTGAGTCGTTTGATTTACGGGTTTCCAGTTACCAGGTATCAAATCAGTTAAATATCCCCGCTTATTCAACAAAAGCCCTTAAAACAGAAATAACGCAAAACTACGAACCAAAAAAGATTATGTTCTCTTATTGTTATTACTAAACATAAAACTGATAATTTATAATCCCTTAAGTTTATCCTTTATTTGTCTGTGACTGCAAGAGTTCTTTAAAATCATAAATCTAAGTATTTCGATTAAACACGAGTGGATAGTATGAAGGGATTAGAGCTCTTGAGCATTAACAGAATAGAACAAGGTAGAATATAGTCCAACACTACAATTACTCACGTTGCTACACTTTGCAAAGACACAAATAAAAAACGTTATTAGTCAACAGAATTAACCAGAAGGATATGAGTAAAAGGACAGTGTGTTTGCACAAGTTATCAAGTTACAGTAACCTCAACTGAAGTTCTCAATAATCGACTAATAACAGCAAGCCAGAAAGTTAACAATTCCTAGGTCAATATTTAGAAACATTGTTAGCTGGTATGATCACTCGGAGACTAACCAGTACTTCATATTGCAATTCGGTGGTCGTATCAAACACGCATTGATTTGAGATGGTTTTGCCAACACTTCTTACATTATTATCTTGATATTTAGTTTGACTTTATTCTACCTCTTAACTCAACTCTTGGACTAACAGTTGTTTATGATTTCTCAAATTTTGCAATAGACCTGATTTCTCAATCAATTATATCCTCTAAATATGGCATGTTAAAAACTTTGGTAACAAATATTCCTTACAATAATTATGGCAAGTATTGGGTTTAAAACGAACTTACACTAGCAGCTTGTAATCCGAATTCATTTACACTAAAGATTTGAATTAACTGTTTCAAACGATCAGAAGACCAAGGCAATATTGCTCGCGGTCCAACCACCATAGGGATTAATGGAAGCGCATTTGAAGAACGTAGATGAGTCTGAAAGCTTCGTTTTTGTTTGGTGCGAACAAATTCCTGAGTTGTTTGCATCACACTGGCAAGGCCAATATCAGAAACTTCTTTTTCTGGAAACGAACTTTCATCTGAACGAGTAAAAGGATTGGAGTTCGAGGTATCTGAGATAATATTTGTGTTCTGAAGTGGTTTAGAAGTGTTTTGTAATTCAGTAAGAGATGGGCTTAATTGTCTCACAAGAATCCCTCGATCTCGAATTGCCTCCTTATCTAAGCTTGAAAAATCATAAGCTAGGCAAACGTTTGGTTTATTTCCGCATAGAAATGAATGCCTACTGACTAATTTTACATCAACTGATGTTTTCGATTTGTGAAACTCAGTAGCACGCCTTGACAATGTTGATCGAGATAAGCATTCAGCCTTCTGCTTTATTGATATTCCATTATCCAGTTTAGCAGGAACGTTTAACGGTGTGTTGAAGTTTGTAGTCATGAAAGTGTGCTGACCTTAAATGATTGTAATAGAGAAAAGTAAATTCAATCAGAAACCACGCGTTCGATTAAGAAAACTCCATTTCTTTAGCGTGAATCAAATAGAATACAAAGATTAAAACCTGTGCCTTACAATGAATTCATTGTTTACTTCTCTGTGAAATCAAAGCCAAAAAAAGAAGTTATTTGGAACCAAAAAAGTAGGAAGTCGACAACCTATACAAACGATTATAAATGACTACGAAGTAAACGTCGCACATAAAACAGAAATGTTGTTAAGGAAATAACAAACATGTGTTATTTCCATGAACAAACACTCTTATGTATGGTCAAACAACTACACCGAGGTAAAGACAATAATTTGTTTTTCCGCATATCGGATGCTGAAATCCCTAGTTCTCGGTAATAGCGAAGTTGCTTACGACAGACGAGTAGTATAATATTAAAACAGGCCGATTTCCAATTTAAATGTTCATGAAAGATCAAAGGTGTTAGGGATCTGCAATACCTCTCAAAATACTCGTAAAAGTTCGCGATCTTTTAAGAAAGTCCTAATCATTGTCATCAATAGGCGAGAATGCCGAACACGAAATTGATTCTCTTGAACTAAATCTTCACGTCAAAGGTTTTAAGGGTGAATTATACCAATGAAATAACTTATTTTTGTATACAAACTCGAGTAGTGCTACAATCTTCGCAAAAACCATGATAATCCAAAGTGAAGAGTATGAATTATGTACTCTATAAAAACCCATTACCAGTCCTTAATTGGATTACGGTAGATAAACCTTATATTTCTGCTAATAAAACTAATATGTTTGTAATATCCCAATGAGTAGAAGAATACAATTTTCTGACATTTCATGGCTTAGTAGAGGCCACTTCGTCATGAAATGTCAGGAAATTGTATTCTTCTACTCATTGGGATATTACAACCATATCATTTTTATCAGTAACAATCCAACCAATGTTCAATTTATTTGAAATCATGAAGTCAAACCTTGGTAATGATACCTACAAAATTATATTTCTGCAGTTTTATTCTTAATTAGTTTATACTCTTGCTCATCTTAATTTTATTGAGCATCTAACTTTCATCAGAAGTTCTGAATAACCTAAACAGTCTTATTTTGCAAAACGGTCGCTTCCCAAAATGTATTCCGAAACCAAACATGTTCTTTATGAACTATTACGTTCGATGTATGTTCATATTATTGACACAGACTTTGCAAAAGACAGGTCTGGGCATAATCGTGAAATTATAATTAATCTATAAAAATAATGAGAGCATATTATTTTCTTAGCTCAAAATTGATTTCTAAAATGTTTTATTATCGATTTACCTACAGAGATCACTAATGTATGATAATGGGAAGTTCTAAAAACAACATGAAAAGTTTACGATGTCTTAGTTTTGAAAATCCATCAGTTAACGTTATTTACAAGTCGAAAAGTTATTTTAGTTTATCCATGGTACGACCATTAAATAAGCTTGAACCTCCTATGAAAGACATTCTAATGTAAATTTAGGGATGTTTTTAATGCAGACTATCTGGGCTGCAATATATTACATTTTTGCATATGAATAAAGTGAAGACGATATGTTTTACGGTGGCTAAGCTATTTTAGCTTGAGTATTTTTAATTAGTAAAGGAATGTGAGTAATAAAATAAACATTAAGAAAGTAGTATTAAAAATAACACTAACTCGAACTAGGAGAGATTGATTGTAAAGTAACTCTTTCGAACGCAAGATGATCAATCGTTTTGTCAACAGGACTATTCACTCCATCTAATTCATTTGAAGAAACAGTATCAAGTAATGGTATATCACATTCAGAAGTTGGGTGATTATTTACATGGAAATCCAGTTGGGAAGACTTAACTAAAGTTCCTTCAGACGACATATAATTAGTGCTATCATTTTCCGGACTTGTTGATAACTTAGAGACTGAGCTGTCAACCTGCTGAAGTAAAACAGATTGAAACGTTGGAAATATATATTTTGTATTACAACTAAACATTAACTGATTACAAAAACGGAAGACTTAAAGAAGTTTATGTTCCGCTATTTAACACACAAAAATTTATGTCATTCTCTAAAATGTTATTTCAGAATACTAATAATATTAGCCGATTATTGCTCGAATAACCATAGACAACGACTGCTTTGTCATTATGTATAATGTACAAATAGCACATATCCAGGAATCAGCAGATTTCTGAGACAATTGAGAAACGAAAGTCACTTAATTATTAGTCACACATGAATAACTTTCCTTGAGTCAAAAAACTAAAACTTATTGTTGTCATTAATTTGGATTCTAACAGGGTTTGTACTATAAATCTTGATATATTAGTTTACACTATAAGTACAGTAAAAGGTGGATGACGAATAAAATCTAAATAAAATAGGCGACGATTGAAAACGTTTTTGTACTATTAAAATACTTGCCATAGTTTAAGCTTAATTTTCAGTGCAACTGATTAGCTAAATACACTTTTATGCACTTAGCGTTGATCCGTTGTATGAATACTAACCACACTATCAAATTTCCTAGATACAAAGAGTGTAATGGGGTTTAAATGTGAATCTCAAACTTCAGGTAGTGAAGACATTATGGAGAACCATACTCAGAAAAAATCTAGGTTTTTGTTCATGTATTTAATCGGTAACAGATATACTCGCATTGTAAGACATTCCACTTTACTGTTATTACACAATTTAATGTTTAACAGTGGTATTATGTTTATGAAGGACAATCAACAGCGAATTAATGGTGATATTTATATTCCTTAGACAGAAAATCATCGACTCCATAATAAAATGAGATTGCACATACACCGTGTCATATAATCTTATTAATGAGCTAAACAAATTTAAGAGCTAGTAGTTTAATCGATTTTCAGGTGCCTCAAGAAGCATCCGCTCACAGTGATGGAAACTGTGAAGCGACAACTGTTTTCATATTTCTAACAGCGCTCAAGTTAATCCTGTATACAATCAAATCTCCACTACACTTCATAATACTTTTTCTACTTCAACTATCAACTCTCATTTTGTCTTCGACTTCTTCCACACATGCCACTAGTGTTAACGATCTTAGTTCATGAATTGCTATCTCAATTCTCCTAAGACCACTCTTCAAACTGCATATTGGAACTTTCAGTATCCAAACCTAAGGTTGATTCAGACAACAGGACTTAGGTAAGACCCGCGAACTTCGTATCATTAGTGTATGCTATCTCTCCAAAGCACGGATACAGGATCTGACCTTATGTAACCAATGCAGAGATCTAGTGAGAAACACCCTTCGTGTATCTGGGAATGTAATAGCAGCTTCTTATGACCTCCCCAGTGTACGCATAGCACTAAGTCTGAAAACAGAACAGGCAGTTCCGGATTGAATCCTTGTAGATAACTACTTATATGCTAGCCATCTAAACGGTGTAGTAAGAACTCCTTCGTCGTTTCTGCCTATTCTCTCAATGGCTACAGCTTGGATGGAGTAAGAGATGAGTTTTACAGGAAGTCTGAGAAAGCTTATTCGGTACTTAATAGATTACGTATCTAGTGAATTGTGCACGATATCTGCTGACCAAGGGGTGAATATACTATGAAGCAGCCCCATTTTAAGTTAAGGCTGTGAAAAAATAGTCTAAGAAAGTAAAAAAACAAGCGTTATAAAGTTTTTGGACATAGGTAGTTTTTGAACATTACTCATGTATCGTGAAACGACTGAGTGAGTAGTACTGTCTTAAGGCATAAGGTATGAGGAAAAGATGAGATTGCGAAATTTCACCAACTGAGATGGTTGGCATACACCTTACTTATAACCAACTACTGTCTACCTTGGTGAGTATTGTGAGTTGATGTAGGAGAAAACTAATATTGTCCAAACCAAAATATGGGGTCAATCGATGAAATAACTTACTGTCGGTCTAAGCAATGTTGACAGATGCAGACTATCTGGTTTGGATCTATACGATAACCATGATCAATGGTTGAAGAAACTGGGTAATATGGCTCAGAGTCAGTCACCATAGTGCATATACATTCAATCTTTACTCCAAAACTTTAGTCCTAACATCCCACTTGTTAGCGGAATATAGAGTGGATTAAAGCGCGTTCCGTGAAGGATTTTGTTGGGGCATGTTGATTGGCTACTTCTCGTCTAACCAGAGCTAATGGACAGTTCAAGAATACTCTAGAATCTTCTCGTGTAAAAATTATAAATATACTAACGTTTTTCTTATTGTAACCCCTACTTTTATCTACCGTTGGTATTTGGAATATAATTTCGTTCCCGTTCAACCATGTTCTTATTTGGGAACCTGTCGAGTGAATCGATGTGTGTGGGCCGTAATACTGACCGGGTGCCCAGACCGAAGCAGGTGGTTTTCTTAGGAGGCCACACCCCGAGCCCTTGACCTAAAGGTCTGATCCACAAGGCAGTGGAGCATCGTGAAGAGATGCATTCCCATGGAAGCCGGTGACCAACGATTGGTTCATACGCCATTTGTTCCCGCAGGATACTGGAGCCCATGTGCACCATTGGTTTGTGATCCGGTTAAAGCGCCGGACATTCTCTTTTCGTCCTCTCATTTTTGTAAACAACACCCCTGCCACGAGAAGGCAATGAGTAGGACTTCCCTGGCAGAGGCTGAATACGCGTGGCCGTGTGAGAGCATTTCGAGAGGGAGGGCGGGCCCATCCCACTCTCGGCCATACCAGAGCATCGATGTCCAAAAATAATAAGCAATAGGAGTAGCTGTGTCGTAATAAAGAAAAATTATAACACCACTAAACATAAATAACCAGTCTGTAGTCTCGAATTATATTTCTCACTGCTCAATAATTCTCATTATCATTGCACCTACATTACTCCTAATTCCATTGGTATGCATCTTAATTTTATTATAATTGTGCAAAAGTTGGTAATTACAACTTGGCTCGATGCATATTTGTGCAAGGCTTTAAGTTGATTACGGCTAGATGATCTGAAATAGGTTTCGCTTGACGACAACAAAGCCTAGCAATATAAAATTTGAAAAAAGTTGTCGGTTTATTTTATTATTATTATTAAAACGATGTGCGATCCCTAAAACTGACAACACACATCACAGTGAATGAAATGAGTTTAATTAAAGAAACTACTCTTAAACAGTTGCTATTTACTTATATGATGGTAAAATGAAAACATGCTTACTTGTTCTAAATCGTTCCCCGAAACAATCATTGGGGGAAATAGATTTGGTTCAGTAACTTGATGAGAGGTCTTGGCGTCTTCATCACACAAAACTGTAACCTCAGTTTTGCACAGCCAGTGACAGGTCATGTGGCATTCTGAAGAAATAAAAATACAACATAGTTTTAAATACAGTTTGTTACGGATTATTTTCACAATACGGTTACACTTTTGTTTAGTTTGTACTGAAAGATACTACTTGGCTAGTTATTTTTTTGGTAAGAGATAGAATGTTGGAGTTTGATTTTAGGGGTGAAAGCGGGGTTACTTGTAAGGTACAAATGTTTGGAAAACCCAAACAACACTTTCACTGTAAATTTACGCTTTTAGAAATGTAATCAAAAGGCAAACAAAGTGATGTAACAAGACTTCCATGTTAGCAAGGTGTATGAAAAAAGGATGTCAAATAAGATGCAGATAGAAAACTGTGTACTTACGTCTTGCGCAAGCTCATACAAGCTAAAAAAACACGGTCAGTCAGTTAGTCATACCGTTTTTTCACTAATCTAAATTAAAGGTGTGATGCATTCCACGTGGTGTCAAATGACTGAGATTAACTTACAACACACTCAAGATATAATACTCGTACCTATTGACACCTATCAGTAAGATATGAGTGCATTTGTACGACATTCCTTTCTCTTGATCTTAAATACCCAGTGATCCGGACCAAAAATATTAGCTTAGTCATGGTTTGGTCATGCAATTCTTTAAAATATCTACTAATACGGAAACAGGAAAGCGGTTAAGTAATCAGTTAGTATTTCCTCTAGTCTAAAACAAAATTATTAATACCCATTATTCTGCCACTTAGGTATGAAATAATCGAAGACAGATTTATTCATCTTATTTTTTATTACTATTTACTTTCCTGAAGGGAACTTGAGGTGACGAGTTTACGTATGCATTCGTCATGTTTACTGAAATTTCCCGATCCTGTAGTCATCCGATTTCTAAAGGTCTGATAAAACGACGAATAAACACAACTTCTATTTTATTTATCCCACTCTTCACGTTCACCAAGGAAAAAGGTCGACAAAAAGGCCACTTCGGTGAAACGTTTCTTTTTATCCTCTTCCTAATAAAATTTATATTATGAGGTGTTAAACTTCAGCATTACATACACAGCATTTTTAAAAGCCGAATCAGTAGTGTACAGTTATCACTTCTTGAATGTCCCTATCATTTGATTTTGAGGTATCTGAGGAGGAAGCAGGGTCAGTGTTGGTATCGGAAACCTGGGAGGGTAACCGGATAACCTTACGGATAAATGTTTACGGCCGATAACACACATTTCTCTCGTGAGTAGTATCTTATTTATTATCTCCATACATTTCAAACCTTAAAGCTAGAATCAAGTATAACACATTAACATTTACTATGCCATACAGTTGGAAGTATAGCCTTGTCCTCGAACCTTAGGTTCGTTATTGAAATCTTGCTGCTATCCGACTATTATGGTGGTGACGAGATGGGATAATCCGACACAGGCCAAATGAAAAGTGATATATGTTGATAGTTTTAACTTACTGAGACAGATATACCCTAGTGCTTAAAAATATAACTTTATTTCATAAGAGATATAGGTATATATTTGTGGATAAGCTTTGAACGTTCTTTCGACTCAGCTACCGAATATAAGCTTCCTACTCATTCTTGGTTTCCTCAATCAAGTAGCTGGTTTGGACGCGCATTTAAGAAACTTGTATACCATTATCAGACCGACTACCATATAACATAGCCAGATATATAAGAAACTAGGGCTACACTATAATTTATGGACGAGCCAATCAGATATAAGATAACGAGTCACGAATTTTGGTCGTTACAGTTCTCAAACGAACAGTAATTACTAGTGACAAACACTGAAATGCCTGGCAAGCGCAACAAGATTAACGGAAACAAGGTGTTGGGTCATGAAGAAATGCAGTCAGATGCGCCTCCTGATATACGGCAAGTCCCTTTTGATACATCTTCACGTCATGGCTCTAATACTAGTTTAGTAAGTAAGCACAGCAAAATTAGCTCTAGCATCACCCTAGCAGAGTTAAAAGAAAAGCAGCTGGGGGAAAGACAACTATTAGAGATTAGAGATTTGAAAGATAGGCAGAGGAAGCAGCTGTTGTGCCTTCATAGAGAGTTAGGGTCGTTAAGGCTACAAGAGAACATATGTAGTAAAGTATCTTCTGCCTCCAATTGTGATGACAGGAGTATGTTCACAGTTTCGTAAGCCGTTCTCATGACCTTAGAATAAAGTCCCCAGGAAAGTCAAAACTGTTACTGTCCAGGAACGAAGAAGAAGAAGGAAGTGACCTTGGCATCTCTAAGTGTGGGTCTTGAGCTCCCAAAAGTAGAACTAAGTACTTTTGATGGGCAACCAGCCAAATACTGAAAACTTATCAGACAATTCGAGTTATATGTGGTATCCAAGGTCGAAGACGATGGTCAACGGCTCTTGTTACATTATTTTAAAGGAAAGGCTCGAGAGGCCATAAAAGAATGCATAATGCTTCCACCATCATCGGGTTATCGTATAGCATGCGACATACTGAAACGGTTGTTTGGCAGAACACACGAAGTCGGGCTTTGCTGAAAGGCTTGACTGAAGGTCCCGATATTGCGCATAATGACGGAGAAAGTCTGTCTACGCTAGCTATAAAAATGGAAAACTGTTCTATAGCTTTAGAGAAAATGGATTACTCAGCGGATTTCAACATTGTAGTAACTATAGAAAGTATAGTAAAGAGGTTGCCCACGGCTTTACAGATGAAATGGGCTGAAACAGTCGGAAAGGTAACAGCAAATGGAAGAGAACCCACTTTTGCCGAGTTAACATAATTCGTATCATCTAGAGCAGAAATTTTACTCAGCAGATTCGGGCAGATTGCAACAGCTAGTAAACGAGTTGTAAGCAAGGTAGCCTGTTCCACACAAGAGTTGTCGTTCGGTAAAATTTTTAGCAACTCACCTTGTGTTATATGCGGAGAAAATCATAGGATTGATAAATGTTCCCAGTTCTCTACATTGGCAGTCAACGATAAGTGGACGAAAGCGAGAGAAAAGGGTTTGTGTTTTTGTTGTCTTAGAAGGGGCCACAGATCAGTGGATTGTAAAGATCGTGTTGTGTTTACTATCGAAGGTTGCCGGGGTCGACATTACCCACTGTTGCATAAACCCATTAAAGTTCAAAGTGCTTCGAGTGAGCATTTTGAAGAAAGTCGTTGTACACAGAGTCACTAAAAGAGGATGTGTTTCTTGGTTTAATCCCTGTACGCCTTAGAGCTGGGGATAAGGAAGTTTGTGGATATGCGTTTCTAGACAATGGCTCAGATACAATCCTAATCAAGTCAAGTATCATACAACTTTTAGGTTTATCGTCAGAGAGTGCATCGATTACTATCATAACAGTAAACGGAAATAAGTTAGCCAGATCGACAACCAAAGCTTTTGAAGCCTACTCATTAAACGGAAACGAATGTATATGTATTGAACAGGCTGTTGTATTAGATGATTTGCCAGTGCATAGACCAATAGAACCTGTGAAGGACAGTTCTAAAAACTGGCCCCATCTTATGGATTTACCTTGGCCAGAGTTAGTGGGTGGCGAAGTTATGTTGCTTATTGGTTGTGACGTGCCTGAAGCGCATTGGGTCCTGAACCAAAGGTTAGGTGGAAAAAAGTCCTTACGCTGTTAGGACACTGCTAGGGTGGGTTCTTTTTGGACCAGCAGTTCACAACAAACATGGGGAAAGGATTGTAAATTGTTTCTCAAACTGATGACCCTGTGGAGCATAACCCTGAGTTTGCTGACGACTATTCCTCTGATAAATCATTCTCTGAATGATTCAAACGTAAGTGGCATAGGAGAGCGCGATATTTACTTCCATGAAAGTTACGAAATTGTTCTTTTACCTAGAGGAGTGGCTGAGGAAGACATTGTAGTCCCTGTTATTGGCAATGGGTCTGATATTTGTAAAGCTCGCTTCACCGAAGATGATACTCTCAAAGCCGCATTCCCCTCTATTGCTGGAACAGCTAGACATCAAGGAGTGATGGTGGGAATGGATCAAAAGGACAGTTATGTGGGAGACGATGCTCAATCGAAACGTGGTATCCTGTCACTGAAGTACCAAATTGAACATGGTATTGTGACTAGGTGGAGTGATATGGAGATATGGTATCATGCATTTTACAACGAGTTGCGAGTGGCAACAGAGGAACATCGTGTTGTTGACAGAAGCTTCATTGAACCCGAAAACAAACCGTGAGATGGCACAGGTCATGTTTGAGACGTTTTATACTACAGCTATGCATGTTGCTATCCAAGTGGTGTTGTTACTGTATGCATCTGGTCGTACAAATGGTAAAGTGTGGGACTCAGGTGAGGCTGTGACCCACACAGTTCCGATTTATGAAGGCTATGCATTGCCTTATGCTATTTTGCGTCTGGACCTTGCTGGTGGAGACCTTACCGACTTTGTGATAAAGTCTCTAACTGAGACAGTTTGCAGTCTCTCTGTCTATTCGTGGAACATATTCAGGCGCAAACCTCCAGACGTTTTGCTTTATAGTAAGTTATTAGTCTTGGCGAGAAGAGGAACATATAGGGGAGCTGCGGATGCTTTGGTTTCTGGAGGTGGCCGGATAGCAGCAGACCATAGCTTAGGTTTATGGATGTACAGGCGTACTGTTGTAAGTCCTGTGCTTCCCAATGATATAGAGCAGTTAGTAAAGAGAGCCATGACAGGGACGTATTTAAAGGTGTATTTGCGTAGCTGGAGGGATTATGGGGGCCGGTGTAACGGAAAGAGGACGATAAAAATCCCTGTGCAGCTTTTTGTTGGACAGTACTGTCATTTATTTGTTTCTTCTCCCTGTCGTGTATTTTAACCTTTATTCAAATCTCGTTTAAATTTAGCACGGAGTTTGTGTTTCGATATAATTTAATACGAGTGTCTCGAAAACCCTTTGTAAGCTCTACAGAAGAACGTAGTCTGACCCATTCGAATACATTTTGGTTCTTCAGTCCTGCGTTCAAACCGAATACTGGCAGTTCGGTCGTTACAACTCATCAATACGTTTGACTAAATACAGTTTTGGCATTATAGCTGAAGTTAGCTGCTGATGAAAACCCTAAACCTAATTTTTAACCCTAATCACCAGACGTAAATGAGAATTTTAACTGCTTTATAACCCTCTTTTAGTCCTAATCAGTGGGTGTCTACCCTCAGAGTCACTTCAGCGTCGCTCAAAGGTCGTCCATAAATTATAGTCTCACCGAAACTAGTTCGGGTGTAATCCAATCGTATTAGAGTGCATCGCTGATCACACTGAACAAACGCAAACAAGTGTACAGAAACATAAGTAGAGGTGTCCAGTGGTATAGGAGACTATGTATCAAGGTGTATATACACCAAGTTGTTACGATAATTTGACAATTGGAACAGGCAATAACAGTTTTCTTCACAATAACTGACTATTCAGGGGAAACCCATAAAGTAAGGTGTGTGCCGTTCAAGCCGCTTTTATGTATCGATTAACTGTAGGATATCTTAATATATTATGAGAACTCACTTGCACACTTTAAACATACTGGACGCCAACCAAATTCCCAAATAGGCTGGTTGCAATGATCACAAAAGGTATCACCATCAAGTGGAACGGGACAAAATAAATGACAATTACTTGAAGTTTCTTTTGTAGAGTAAATTTTATCAGCACACATTAGGTCAAGTTCGATCGCCTCTGGACCAAGCTTGGAATACAAATGCGACTGAATGCGATTTCCAGCTAGATCAAGCGAATCAGATAAAGTTAACCGCTTGAAACTAAGGCGAGGACCATGGTCATTGTTTTTATTGTAGTCTTCCATGTGAATAACACTATTCTTAGGCATTGGACTAGGATAATGTCCGTTTACATGAACACTTTCATGTGAACATGTTGTTTGTAAAGGATCAGAAGGACTTGAATCATTGTTCATCCTTAGGAAGCTAATAAATGCCTTTTTAACCTCTAACATCATTTCCAATAAATATGGTCCAATCATAAACTAGACATTTAGAGAAAAATCTTGGTGCCAGAGTACCGCACCAAAGTAGACAAGGCGCATCGCAATCCTTCGATGTTCAGTTATTATGTAATTCTTATTACGGAGTACCAAGTGTAATAGACTGGTCTGAACTTGATAGTTATTCTCAATAAACATCCCTGCTTTTTTCAGGTCCTTCTTAAAGTGTACAGTGATGTTATCCATGCCATTGGTGATATTATTTGTGTGGGAAGCCTTTGTAGCGGTAAATAAAACCCCGGGGTAAATAGACTCATAACTCTTCAATTTGTGATGCTGGTCGCATTAGTTGTACCGCGATCGCCCAGCTGAAGGCACTCGGCCACATATACGCACCAGATCACGAGTGGGTACGCCGTGCTACACATCCCCTTCAAGGTTCCTCGGCATACCGACAGTTCTTTCTATCTTATGAGTTTATTGGATTAGCATTTTTCGAATATAATGGTATCACTTGTTGAGGTGTTGTCAAACTCTGAATACCTGCGGTGATAACCACGAAACCTCTTTAATTTGGTACACTTGGTTGCCAATCAATTCAATTTAGTCATAGAGATACCACAAGTGTTTGATGTTTGACAACGCTTTTGCCAGTAACAACTTCGTATTCGAAGTATGACAATCCAGTCAACTCAGAGGATAGAAATAAAGGCGTTCGAAGATATATTTGAAAGGCTGTCGGTATGCAGAGGAATGTTGAAGGGGATGAGTAGCACGGAGTACCCACTCGTGATCTGGTGCGTATACGTAGCCGAGTGCCTTCAGCTAGGTGAGTGCAGTAAAACCGATGAGGTCAGCGTCAAATGTCGAAGGCTTACAGAACTATTTTTACGGGACCTGTTCATCAGTACAGAGAGTGTGGACATATTTACTAAAATCGGCTTGACCCGGTCCTATTAAAGCATCAAAGTAGCCGAGAAAACATCCCTTAGGCAGCTAATACTACACATATTAGACTGCTTGGGTTTGTACGCACGCCATTTGGCCTGAGGAATGCCACAGAAACGCTACAACTATTTGTGGACAGTTTACTTTGCTACATGTCATTTTGCACAGAGGTTGTAGGCCGCGATCCATAAACAAGCCCATCCTCGTACTCAAAGAAAGAGTTTGACTTAGAAAGTTACGTGTAACAACAATGGGACCAAATGTTCACATTCAAACTAATTAGTGCTCGTGAACAATAGCAAGTAAATATGTGTAGTGGTATTGGACCCTAACCACATAAACCTCGAAGCTGAACAGGAGACAATTGTGGAAATAGATATTATTATTATTGTTATTCACAAACATCTTATGGTTACATAAGTGTTGTGAAGAAACCCGAAGTGGTTTCTTCAAAAATGCAATAATACACAAGTTTCAATAATGTTAGCATTATATTCGTCATATTTGAAAAAAGAGAGTAATAATGATTGAATAATAATAATAAATCACATTCTGTGTAATTGAGAAAAATATTGAATTGAGTTTAAAGAAGTTAAGGCAAAAAATAAGGGAACAGAAATAAAGGAGACGTGAAATACGCAAATAGTTTAATAGGCGTGTTTATGAACACAGAACAAGAATAATCGAATATGTATGCATCGTCAAATTAATAACAAAAATAAAATAGAAAATAATTAAGAAAAAATAACTTATTATTGCAGTAAGAGACGACGCTAGAACAAATGTTTGTGCAGTCATCGTTTGGAGTGATGTTATGAAAGTCTCAATTTAGTAAAAAGGATAAAGAAATATCAATATGTATGAGTCATATATGCATTGTGAAGATAAAGTGAGTCTGAAAAGTTAATTTAAATGTAGCACAGGTTATTGTCTTAATTACAATCTTCGTAATCTTCAGAATAATATTTATTTAGAAGGGAAAAAAAGAGAGAAAAAATGGACACCTAGTGGAAGGGTTAAACCATGATAATAATAGTAATTGCGTAATGAATATAGACCTCTAAAGTAAACCAACAATTTAGAAAAGTAAAATAAATCCTTTAGTGCGCTCGGATAAATACATGTAGATTTATGTAATAGTATACAAAGTGAAACCGGATATTAGTATAAACATTTGTGCAATAACAATTAAGAATGATGCTATGAAGGTCACAATTAATTTCAAACGACAATCAGGAATTCAATATATTTGGAAGGATAAGGTGAGATGAGAAGAATATCTAGTGTCGGAAGATCAATAACGATATTAATAACAGCAATATTATAGATACGAACATAAACAGACTTCATATATCAAGATGAATAGAAATAAAATAAAATTGACGTGAAAAGTTTCAAAGGTTACATTTCGCTTTTCAATCAATTAGATGGATGACGGATCTTGTTTGCATAAATCATGATTAAATACTTTGATATTCATTAGGTGACATAATCCACTTTCGGAAAGAAAGTCATCAAGGAGACTTCTGAACCGGGCTGTAGTTTCACTGCAACGGAGGTCCACTGGCAGTCTGTTCCACATGGTTGGGTAGGGATTAACGAAAAAATTCTGGTGTAAATTTGTGTGGGTTCTTGGAATCACTAGAATATTCTCCTTATTGCGTAGATTGTGGAGTGATATCATAGAGTATGAAGGGGTGGAAACCGAAGAGTAGTAAATGCTGTTAATAAGCCGACAGATAAAGACATGGTTTAATTTGATACGTCTGATCCAGAGCAACTCCGCCTGCAGCTCTTATAGGGTTACTGCCGTTCCCAAGCCCGGGTAAAGGAGGAGGGTTGAGCATAGGGTTAGCGTCCCCATCCCGTGGAAAACTAACTCGCTAAAAAAACGCTTGCCAGAAAAAATAATCCAAACCATTTTAACTCTGCCCTGAGAGTTAGAAGGTCTTCATTTAGAAGAATTAAGACGCTTCATGGTGAAAGCCGAGTTCCTTCGGAAGCCATGATGCCGATGCCCTTTCTAACAACCAGAGCAACAATTTTTATAGGTACATGAAACGTTCGAACAATGTGGGAAACCGGGAAGACCAGTCAAATATCAGTGGAAATGAGGAGATACAACTTAGCAGTACTGGGAACCAGCGAAACCCACCGGACCCAAGCTGGACAGAAAAAGCTAGCTACGGGAGAGATGCTGCTATACTCCGGTCACGAAGAGGACAATGCTCCACACACTCAGGGAGTCGCTCTTATGCTGTCCAAAGTAGCACGAAATGCACTTGTAGGATGGGAATCTCACGGATCCACAATCATCAAAGCATCATTCAAAACAAAGAAGAAGGGGATCTTATAGAATATTATCCAATGTTATGCACCCACCAATGATAGCAACGACGACATTAAAGATCAGTTCTACGAGCGGCTACAGTCAATCATTGAGAAATGCCCAAGGAAGGACCTGACTATTCTGTTGGGAGATCTAAATGCCAAAGTCGGAATAGACAACACCGGATATGAAGATTTATTAGACGACATGGACTGGGAGAAAGAAACAAAAATGGGGAGAGATTTGCAAATCTGTGTGCATTCAACAAATTGGTCATAAGAGGCACAATATTTCCACACAAGCGTATACACACGGCTACATGGATCTCACCGAACCACACTACAGAGAACCAGATAGATCATATTTGCATCCATAAAAAATTCCGAAGGACAATGGAAGATGTGAGAGCCAGGGGAGGAGCTGACGTAGCTTCGAATCATTACTTGGTTGTGGCCAATTTAAAACTGAAGCTAAAGAAGAATTGGACAACTGGACAAACAGCAATACAAATGTTCAATACAGCCTTCCTTCGAGATACTGACAAACTCAATGAATTCAAGATAGCTCTCAACAACAGGTTCCAAGCCTTACAAGATCTACTGAAGGAAGAAGAAACTACCATGGAGGACAACTGGAAAGGTATCAAGGAAGCATTTACTTCAACGTGTCAAGAGGTTCTCGGTCTAAAGAAATACCATCATAAGGAATGGATCTCTACAGAAACACTGGACAAGATCAAAGAAAGGAAGAACAAGAAGGAAGCAATAAACAACAGCCGAACACGAGCAGAGAAAGTCCAAGCACAAGCTGAATACATAGAAGCAAACAAACAAGTGAAGAGGAGCATTAGAGCCGACAAGAAGAAATACGTGGAAGAACTAGCAACGACGGCAGAAAAAGCTGCTAGAGGAAATATGAAACAACTTCACGATACAACGAAGAAACTAGCAGGGAAATACAGTAAACCAGAGAGGCCGGTCAAAGACAAAGAAGGCAGGAAAATCGCCGAAATTCAACAACAGCGTAACAGATGGATAGAATACTTCGAGGAACCCCTGAATAGGCCGGCTCCAATGAATCCAGTGGACATCGAAGCAGCACACATAGATCTTCCTATAGATGTCCATCCACCAACTACGGAAGAAGTTAGAATGGCCGTCAGACAAATCAAGAACGGGAAAGCAGCAGGACCCGACAACATACCAGCTGAAGCACTAAAATCAGACATCGAAGCAACCACAAGGATGCTTTATCTTCTATTCAAAAAGATTTGGGAGGAGGAACAAGTGCCGATGGACTGGAAAGAAGGACACCTCGTCAAGAGTCCAAAGAAAGGAGATCTGAGCAAATGTGAAAATTACGGGGGCACTACACTACTGTCAATACCAGGGAAAGTCTTCAACAGAGTGTTGCTAAACCGGATGAAGGATGCAGTAGACGCCCAACTTCGAGATCAACAAGCTGGATTCCGTAAGGATCGGTCGTGCACAGACCAAATTGCAACACTACGGATCATCGTCGAACAATCAGTTGAGTGGAACTCATCATTATACATCAACTTCATTGATTATGAAAAGGCATTCGACAGTGTAGATAGGAGGACGTTATGGAAACTTCTTCGACACTATGGAGTTCCTGAGAAGATTGTCAATATTATCCGGAACTCATACGACGGACTACAGTGCAAGGTCGTGCATGGAGGACAGCTGACAGATGCATTCCAAGTAAGGACCGGAGTCAGACAAGGCTGTTTACTCTCTCCCTTCCTCTTTCTTCTGGTGGTCGACTGGATTATGAAGACCTCAACATCTGAAGGAAAACACGGAATACAATGGACAGCTCAGAATCAATTAGATGATTTGGACTTTGCAGATGACCTAGCCCTCCTATCACGTACACACGAACAGATGCAGATAAAGACAGCCAGTGTAGCAGCAGTCTCTGCATCAGTAGGCCTCAGCATACACAAAGGGAAAACTAAGGTCCTTAAATTCAAAACGAAGAACAGCAATCCAATCACTCTTGATGACGAAACTCTGGAAGATGTAGAGTCCTTCACATACCTGGGAAGCATCATCGATGAACAAGGAGGATCCGATGCAGACGTAAAGGCGAGGATTGGCAAAGCAAGGGCCGCATTCATTTAATTGAAGAACATATGGGACTCAAAACAACTTTCAACCAATATCAAAGTCAGGATCTTCAATACGAACGTCAAGGCGGTTCTACTGTATGGAGCTGAAACTTGGAGAACTACAACAACCACAATCAAGAAAGTACAAGTATTTATAAATGGTTGTCTACGCAAGATACTCAACATCCATTGGCCGGATACCATCAGCAACAGCCTTCTGTGGGAGAGAACAAACCAGCTTCCAGCTGAAGAAGAAATTAGGAAAAAACGATGGAAATTGATAGGTCATACATTACGCAAAGCACCAAAGTGCATCACGAGGCAAGCCCTAACATGGGATCCTGAAGGGAAGGGGAAAAGAGGAAGACCGAAGAACACATTGCGTCGGGAAATAGAAGCAGATATGAAAACGATGAATTACAACTGGAAGGAGCTAGAAAGGATTGTCCAGGACAGGGTTGAATGGAGAATGTTGGTGAGCGGCCTTTGCTCCTTCACGAGGAGTAACAGGCGTAAGTAAGTAAGTAAGTAAGTGATCCAGAGAGGTTCATACTTGAGTTGTTGACATCTTTGATGATATTTCTTGTTGTTGAAATACCCCAAACAGCTTTGGTGAACCTTCTTTGAACACCTTCAATTTTAATCAAGTCATTATGCCTGCAATAGCTGTAAACTAAAATACCCTATTCAAGAATGGGTAAGATACATTTTTTGTATAATAATAATCTCGATTCCGTATTTTTGAAGTTTATCATTAATGAGCTTTCTAGTTTTGGATACTTGATATGCAATGTTCTCGAAAAAGTTCAGACTGTTGCTATATCTTAAACTAAAGTCACATATAGTGTTGAGAGGCTTCAATGTATGTTTGTTTATAGGCCAAGGCAGCTGCCAATGTGAATAAATCCACTTTTGTCAACATTAAGTAGCAAATTCCACGAAACAGTCCATTCGTATAACTTGTTTATTTCTTCTGGATTACAGCTAGAATATAGCTTTCTTTGATGGAAGAAGAAAATGAATAACCTACTTTTAGGTCATCAGCAAAAAGGGAAGGTTTACCATGCTGAAAGAGGGGACAGACGTCATTTGACGCGGAGAAGAACCCAACGATGGAGAAGGCTGGAAGAACGAATTTAAGTAGTTGGAATTGAAGGCACAGTCATGCCGTTGCACAGTGGGTTTTCGCGCATAGGTATTACCAGCTCTTTTTCGTTTCACGTCAGTTCTCGTAATGTTTGTGCTCGTTACACGACATCTATTTTGGTTTATTAGCAGTTTGACATATTTGTTGCTGACAACCTGTGTGAATGTTGTGGTCATTAGTAACATTGCTTAGTCAGGCTAGTGAAATTCACCATATACCAAGTGAAAATAGACTGTAAATAGAGTTTTAAGCAAAAATGAGCTGTGGAACAAACTGCATTTCATTCACCCCCTCAACTATGGTGTCGTTGAACTCAGATTTTGATAGCTGTTTGTAAAATGTAGGTCAAAGCAAGGAACTGTGTATAACAATACTATAAGTACAACATTAATCAATCACATTTTCTTCATAAGTCGAACGATGCGTGTTTGTTTTGAGCAAGATAACTAAACGAAGTTGTAATCAACACTAATTTATGATGTGTCTGTTATATGGATAACAAATGGATTTCTCTTAAAGGAATCCGAAATCACTGACTAAATTAAAAAAAAAAGTTTTCATGAATATTGCCGAGTGATATCTGAATAGTGCTTACCAATTGTGTCATGATTATATGTGAACACGGAATTTTTAATAGTACTATGAACAACTTTATTGGATTTATTTTGTTTCATCTAAGTAATTAAAGTTTTTGGATCCGTTCATTTAGTGCTTGCAGTTTCTTTGTTAATACCAAATGACTATGTTAAATTTTAGGAGGATCAGAAAATGAAGAGCACTGTTTACTAGTAAGACACTTATAGGTACATTCTGTTACCTGCAATTTGGTTGAATTATTGAATTTGATACTGATAACTAAGTTAAGTTGTCTGTTTCACGACTGATTCGCCTTTTTTCAGCATTTCATGAGTCTTTGAAGGTCCTGAAAGCTTTCTAATAAAGTCTAAACCGGTGAACTACTTGTGGAACTTATGATTGTAGAAGATCATGTGGAGAAACAGTTTACAAGTTCATGAAAACTGTGTTTCATATTGCTCACTGCCATGTTCATTCATTCACCCTTCTGTAGCAACATAACAATCACTTGCTTTCGCGTAAAACAACCTGAAATATACTTCTATACACTTACCTGTGTAGAGTTGAGCTTTCATAGTCTTCACATCAGCAGAAGTGACCAGCATACCAGTTCTATCCTTGATACATTCTATTACTTCATTTGTTGATTGGGACAGCAATATAACAGGCTTCAAATTTTCTTTTTATTCTCCAAAGTGACATCGCGTATGTTCAGACATAATAATAGTAATATAACTGTGAAAAGGTTTAGAGGACATATAATATATCACAATGCACAATAATATTTATTTGGAACAACACAGCAAGAAACAGACACAGATAACCGTTTAGTGTACCAGATAAAGTCGAGGCTTATTGATCAGAAATATGCAGTGTCTGACAAATATCTTGTCTTAAATTTCTCTCTATATATAGATTCCAGAGCCGACGAAATCAGAGGTCGGTAATAAATGGATGGGAAGGCATATTTGAGCAAATGTTAATATATGAGTGTGTGTAATCTTAGCAGATTACTTGTTATAGATGTGCAACCAGTGTACCCAGCCGTGATCTGATCCGGATATATTTGACCAGACTTCTTCAACTGGGGCTGTGTCCATTGAAAATAATAAGGTTAGCATCAACGTCGAAAACTTATCGAGCTAGCTATTTGAGGGATTTATCTACCACTATATACAAATGGAGGTAATGTGGATCGATTGCACTCATTAAAGTGAAACTGGAGGAATAAATCCGGTAGTTACACGAAGTCTAGGATCCTTAGTCAACCTCCCCAACACCTTGTGTTGATTAAGGACAGGGATACTTAATTTGTTGGCCACAACAATCCAAGAGAATATAATCAAAATGATTGTATTGATAATTTGTAGGGAAACGTAATAACCGTAAGCAAGTTTCTAGGTCCGTGAATAACTAAAAGTTTAATATTCCAGTAGTAAAAGCAATTTTTGATGGTGGCAGATGATAGCTTTATTTAGTCAAAAACCTTGATAAAGCTGTTTTCATTTTATGTTGAACCTCGAACAAATCTAGGCCAGTTGGCTGTAATGCGCTAAAATGGAAATCCTTAAACACGTTTTGGGTTTTTTGGTTTTCTTAAAGTTCTGTTCACCTTATGTTATTCAATTGAATTCAACAAATTGGAAACAAATGTTAGATGGTGAATGGCTTGTAAAATTGTAAGGAAGTTTTAAAGATTCGGTATCTCTATATATAACAGTTTTCCATTTGGTATTTTAATTGCTTCCTTCAAATAAAATGTAAGGTAGTGGTTGCAAGTGTTACACTTGTATTCTTTAAATCCACTTTTACGGTAGTTGCTATAATTCTCCGTGCAAAATCAAATGATTTTTCTGAAAAGAATAACAGTAGATTAATAGAATTTTACAAATCGACTTAATTCCAAAATTCATGAAATGAGAAGAAGGCTCGCAGGTATTCAGAATTTAATCCAACGTTTTGTTGTATGTCTTCAGGCTACTCTTTTTCTACTACGAATAAGCACTAGCTAGTCCGCACCTTCAGTTGACTCTTTCAAGAGAAGACTGTACACTCACAGAAGCATACTAGAAAAGGAATAACATAGTCTGTAGGCCTTCTGTCTTTACTACACAAATCTGAGTCTAGTCAATCTACCGTGTTGTTTTGACCATCATTGTTGTAGTTCCGTATGTTTCTGAAATTTCGCCATATGAGGTAGCATAATAATATTAGAGGGTAATCTAAGATACAGAATCACACATTCTTCATTTCTTTACTCAGCAATTCTCCAAGTTGTGGAATTGTGCCTCTGGTAATTAATAGTCAAGTTTCGTGTCACATAACGGTAATATAATATTGGCTCTGAATACCAATCAATAATAAATATGGATCCGCAACATGATTTGCCAGTTTTTTATTTTATTGTTTTTAGACTATAATAGTTGCTCTGTGAAGTCGAAGTTAAGCACTTTATATTGACCTATTTTAAAAGATTCCATATCCTGGGTTATTTCCAGATTTATTTTAAGGAGAAAGATAAAATAAGGCTAGTAATATATTAGTTCACTCGGATTATCCCCGACCGATAGTTTATTTTCTTGTTCTCTGAATGTTAAAACGGTTCGGGTTCATATAGCAGGTTTTGTGTTGCTTATAATCGACTGGTCAAAAAACAGATTAGCAATTAGTTGGTAGTTTTACTGACTACTAGGTAGCGTTCATTTTTAGGTTGATGTTTAGTGAAAGCACCAACCGCATTAACGAAGTGTTTTAGTAAGTCTGTAATATAAATGTTTTTCAGAAGTATAAACTCGTTCATTACTACACTTTAGTCTTCAAAAACAATAGTATTGCAATTCACTCCTTGTCATTTGCTTCACTGTTCGTATTCAATCTGGGCTAATGCATATTTGTTGATTATAAATTACTGGTATTAAAAACGGGGACTTTTTAATATGGTTCTAAAATAAGACATGTAATACCAATGTACGACAATAATTCGCTTGTCATCACATTTTTTTCGAGCTAAAATATAAGTTCGACCAATAAGTTCCTATAACTTGGCTGTAATATGGTTGACTGAATTCAAAGTGCATATTATCTATAACAGAAGACAGTTAGTTATCAATAGCTTAACCTTTCCTGTCAGCTGAAGTACTAAGCAGAAAATCTTCGTTTATTACGAACTTTTTCCTTCGAACCTTAGTTATTGTCAGTCAGTCAGTCAGCTACAACGTAGGACCAGGCACATATATGCATCGGTCCAAGTTGCCATACCTCATTAACACAACAAGATGGACACCGGCTTCATATAAGTAGTTAATTCAGAGGTGGTAATATATAAAAGAAAGATTGCAATAAGGATATAGTACAGGAAGAAAGAATTAGTTCGTAGAAAGAAAGATATGAAGCGATTTCAATCTCTTAGTTTAAGGGAAGATAGAGAGTGTATACACCGACACCATTGTGATCGATTCTGAGCCATGTCACCAAGAGTCTCCAACCATTGGTTACGATAGTCACGCGGACCCCAACCAAGTAGTTTGCATCTCCCGAAATGGCTCAGACTAGAAGTTAGTGACTTCAGGAACTGATGCCACGTTTTGGTTTGGCCGCCCCTCACTTTCTTCCAACCATCTCCAAAACCGGTTAGCATTGTGCGTCATGGTAATCGGTGTTCAGGCATATGTAACACGTGGCCCAACCATCTCAGTCGATGAAGATTCACAACCTCATCAACTGATTTACCATCATTTCCTAATACCCTTGCGTTTAACCTCACTATTAATTAGCTGGTGATCACAGCAGATGCGAGCGTCTGTGGTCAAAACAGAACGAACTTCCGCGCAGTATACTCGTCCTTTTATTGATAGACGGATAGCTCGCCTTCGCCAAAGGTGACGTAAGTTGGCAAAAGCCAAGCGAGCTTTTCGAATCCGTGCTGCGATTTCGTCAGATATGAACCCATTAGGGCTGATCAGACTTTCAATATAAGTGAAGTTGCCAACGCGTTCGACTACTTCACTCCCTATCCTTAGTTCAGGTGTTGACGCAGCCCAGTCCTGAAGCAACAACTGGCATTTAGAGGGAGAGAAGCGCATTCCAAACATTCTGGCATTGTTGCTTAGTGCTACCAAAAGACTCTGCATTTTATCAGCGTCTTCACCAAACAGGACTATGTCGTCTGTGTATTCTAAGTCGATAAGTGGACCTCCTGGTGGGAGTTCAATGCGCGAGAATTCAGTCGACGAGAACGTTATTTCTAGCAGTAGGTCTATGGTGAAGTTGAACAAAAATGGAGAAAGTGGACAGCCTTGACGGACACCACTTGAAGTTGCAAAAGTAGATGACAGTTCGCCATAAGCTCTGACTCGACTAGCAGTGTTCGAGTAAAGAGCCTTTACAAGGTTTATGCACTTCTGGGGTACGCCTTTCAATGACAGACACTGCCACAGAATCTCGCGGTCTACCGAGTCAAATGTTGCTTTTAAGTCAAGAAAGACCACCATTGTCGGATGCCGATAAGTATGCCTATGTTCTAGAACCTGACGAATGGTGAATATGTGGTCGATGCAGCCACGACCAGGTCTGAAGCCAGCTTGGTTCTCTCGTGTTTGCAGTTCACGAGTCTTAGTTAGGCGTCTGATAATTATCGAGGCTAGTATTTTAGATACTATGTTTGTTAAACTAATCCCTCTGTGGTTGTCACAGGATGATTTTGACCCTTTCTTATATATTGGGACGATAAGTGATTGCGACCAGTCAGATGGGATAAAGTCTAATTCCCAGATCTTAGCTAAAATATTAGTCAACCTAATCGCTAAAATTGGACCATCATCCTTAAAGACCTCTGGAGCCAGTCCATCTGGACCAGCTGCCCTTCCTCGCTTCAGATTAACTATAGCCTTTTGAACTTCAGCAAGAGTCGGGGGACCTACTTCAATGTTCCATTCACACTGTCTGGGAATGGAGGGTAGTTGTAGAGTAGCTGAAGGCCAGCTGAACTGTTCTCTAAAATGTTCCGCCCATCGTTCTAAACGTCTGGACTGGGAGCAGATGAGAGTATCATCTTTTTCCGAAATAATCTCACTTACACTTGACTTATTAATTCCAGTTTCTTTTATTAGACTGTAAAGCTGTCTTGTGTTCCCTATAGTCGCCACCTTTTCCATCTCTTTTGCTTTCGTTACTCACCACTGCTCACGGTCGTTCCTTAGACTTTTTCTTAACCTAGATCTGATTTGTTTACGCTCTTCATCGTGTTCAGAGCCTGATGGGACGAGTTTGCGAGAATCCATCAGTGTGATAGACCTTGAAGAAATCCACTGGTTCTTTGTAACTCTGTGGTTTAAGTCACTAATAGATGTCACTGCTGATTCCACAGCTGATTGTATGCTTTTCTAAGCAACATCTGGGTCAACCTCATTTTCAGAACTACCTAAGTGTGACCTCATTTGTTCCTGGAACCTACTTTTGGTCTTCTCGTTACTCAACTCAGTTCTAATGGGTCTTTTTAATGTGGCTTTTTTGCGTCCAGTGAGGCGCAAGCAGATGCGTGCCCGTATTAGGGCGTGGTCGGAGTCCAAGCAGGTACTCCAGAATGAGCGACAATCTTCCTTCGAGCCTCTCCAACGATGACTGATGGCAATATGGTCTATTTGAGTCCATCGTTGGTTTGGTGTAGGGGGTCGCCGTGTTAGACGATGTCTCTCCTTATGCCTAAAATTTGTGTTTGCTAAAAATAAACGATTGTCTGAGCACAGTTGCAGCAGACGATCACCATTATCTGTTCGCTGTGCCGGTGTGCTAAAATATCCACCTAAATGCCTTTCTCTTTGGTTTAAACTACCTATCTGAGCATTAAAGTCGCCCCCTACGAGTACTATGTTTGAGCGTTTAGCTTTCTGCAGAAGTTCGGACAGCTTTCTGTAAAATTCATCTTTCACTTCATCTGAGCTGCAGTCAGTGGGAGCGTAGGCAGAAACGACGAAAAGGCAACGACGTGTGTCCCTATCCTCCCGAGTTCTTACGTAGCCGTTTAGCCGAACAGCACATAAACGACTGTTGACGGGGATCCACTCTAGCAGTGCTTGTTCGGCCCTCATGCTTAGTGCCATCCCTACACTTGCCAGTCCACGAGAACTGGCCATCGAGTCACCAGATACACGGAGGGTGTATCTCGTTGGCTCTCCGTTTTGACGAGATGAGGTCAGGTGAATGACCACACTAGAATCCTGTATGCGTGTTTCGGAGACACAGCATACATCAATGGTAAGAGACTTTAGGGTTTTAGCCAAGGAAGCCTGTTGACCGATTTGACATAGGGTGCGTACGTTGAAGGCTCCAATGTGTAGTTTGGAGCGAGGTTTCAGTAGACCTGGGACAGTGTTTTGAGCACTAGAATCGTTGGCTATGGTGACACTTGAGAAGGAAACCGAAAGAGAAAATTTACAGTTGAAAGTCTATGTAGGAGGAATAATAGGAATTGAAGAGGGAGGTTGAATATGAATACAGTGGTCTTGAGTGCTGTTATAGGTATGAGGGCAGTTATCACTTCCCGGTTGCCCACACCGTGGAAGGGTTCTTCTGGAGGTACCTGAGGAGGAGATCGGATTAGAGGTGGTCTTAGTGACCTGAGAGCGTGACCGCAGTGCCCAAGGGACAACTGCTTGAGTTCGGTCACACACGACCTTTTTATGGGTGATTTTTGTGTTAGCTCCGTACTTGTTGAGACCTTACCGCCGGAGACGGATATCCGTGGGATAAGGCGAGGTGTGTATTTTTAGAGTCGACCATTTCTAACCCCACCCGTCCTTGTGGGAAGGCAGCATCGCTGTCATGCTGGTTGTCTGAAGGAAACACCTTACTGCTGTCACACCTCTGTACAGTCAGCAGTACGACTTCGTCTTCGGACCTTGGGTTTGTTGCTTTTAATCTTACCGCTCTTCAACCGACCTGTCTGACATGGTAGGACCTTGAGGAACGGTTGTTCCAGCCAGTATAGCTCGGTTGCTTCATCACGATAGGCAAGCCCGACCACCACGTCAAGGCAGCAACAACGGTCGGGACCTTAGTTATTAAAATAGTACTTGATGGATTAGAATTTTCTACTGAAGAATGGTCAGTCATACAGCTCTGTGCTTCACTAGACGTATTTTTATGTAAAAAAGGATGTCATTACATATTCTGAATATATATTAGCTGTCTCACCATACAATTTTTGTTCCGGCTGGTTCCACTCTACTCGTGGGCCGTTGCAATTACACATCTCTTCATCCATCACCATATGTTTGTACCAAACAACCAATTAAAACTACCTTTTATGTGGATATGGAGTTCCAAAAACACCGAGAAATTTCTTGTTTGACTTGATGTAAAATTTCATGTCAGATATGTTTGTAAAGCAGTAAAGTGAATCAAAACTCAGTGTATGAACGAAAATTCATTTTATTTAGGAGGAACTGTGGAAATTAATATAACGAATCAAAGGCAAAAGTTTGTGGAGTTATACATATATGAGAGGCATCGGTATAATATTTATTCCTTTCTAATCTAAAGAAAAAACCTGAGCATAAATGGAAAAATTTGTAGTACTTCACTGACTTTCAATACGGGCATCAGAAATACAACATACCTTAATATTAAGATTTTCCAAAGTTATAGTTATACCTCCCTGTTGTATGATCTGCATCAATATTGCCAGCACCAGAAGTGGCCAATTTAGGTGTTTCCTGTAGCTTTAGGAAAGCTGTATTAGGTTTCGTATTACGTGGAAGCATTTGTAAGTTTGGCAATTTAGCAACTTGACATTATTTATGACAGAACAGAACTTTCAACAGAGATGAGGTAATGAGTGCACTAGAGAATAAAAGTATACATATAATGAAAATAAAGCGAAACAGGGAGTTATCACAGAGCAAGACGAATTCGTTTGTATCAGTCATTCTAAGTATCGTTTGGGTTGGTAGCCAAGCGGTGCTAATAGAATAATACATAATAATTCGCTGATGAGTATGTTCTGAAATACTACCAGGGGGCCATAGGGAGGCAGTTGGTTACCTCAGGAGACTAATTCCCGAGTCTTAGACCATGAGTTTTAATTCTAAAGGGTATGAAGCGATTTCAGAAGACGCACTCTCATATTAGTTGGGGGCAAAATTAGTTCTTTTTCTCATCCACCATTCAGGGTTCGAGAGCCTATATACACTATTGGTTTGGCATTACAGTTTACCGACTCACCTAGGTAGACCCGTCTTTATCAACCTTGTTTAAGTGGCGGTTTTTCGCTTCTTGTCCTCTAAGTTTCGTAGAAACCACCACGTGAAAACACTGGAGAGGAATTTCACGGAAAAGACTACCAACACATGGTCGTATGAAAACATTGAGGGGGGAATGGACTCGTTTCACTCTTGCCTGTACTTAAAGTTTTCAGGAGCTCGGATTAAGGTTTAGTGGTGGTCTCGCTGTAGCCTTCTGTGACATCCTGTACAAAATTGATCGGAACCTTAGCTAAAGTCTCTCCGTGTATTGTTGACTGGACTACTTCATATGATAAACTAGTATCCTTTTGATTGTACTCTCCGTTCATCTCTTACTTTTTCGCAATGTCTCCATTTGTGTAGCGCACGTGTTTTGGTTGTCTGCTGTACCAAAGTTTACGCGTGCTACATAGTAATTTTTATCACAGATTCCAATAACAAAGTGTTGATATAACAAACTAAACAAATACATATTTGTGCACTCGCCCTTTATGGAAAATAGGTTAAACATTCTTAAACAGATTAGTGCATCGTTTTCTTGGAAGCTCTGCACACAGGATTAATGAAACCAAGTTGACTGGGGAAGCTATGTATATCTGAACTGTTTTATAGTATTGTCATAAGTTTACAAATGTATCGTTCATTTTCACATAGACAACTGTATTGTATTAACTAGTAATATCTAGAGAATTTTCTGGTTTTGTTTTGATTTTGAAATAGCCATGCTCCTTGGTGTCCAGCTTGTCGACAGTTTTCACCAATTTGGCAACAACTCTCTGATGATAGTTCAATCAATGCTTTTGTCGCAGATGTTGATGTAACAGAAAGTCCTGTCCTTAGTTTCATATTTTTTGTCAAGCGATTACCAACTGTCTACCAGTAAGTTTAATTTTAAGTAGAATTATTTCCATAACTCAGTACGTAGATTAAGGTTACGAGTTTCCTTTGAGATATTATCAGTTTGTAATTCTTTGTTTTGTCACTGGATAATTTGTTGAAAACAGCTCCGGGAGACTAGTTTTACAAACAGTTTAATGAATCAAACAGACAGGTGAAATTGTTATTAGTTTGATGCGCCATTTAACTTGGTACTCATGCTATTTTTTGTATTAATCACATATGCGTAAAACATTCTTGAACATTCAGAGACCGGTAAGAGCATTCATACTTCACTGTTTAAGAAACTGTAACGTAACAATGTAGTAGACACGGTAAATACCCGGTGTGCTTGATCCATTTTTCATCGATCTCATTTGCAGCTATGCCTCTTTCGTCAAGTGATTCAATCCTTGCCACTCTTGAAGGTTCATGTAATTGATTGATGATAACAACTTTGGATGCTTTTAAAAACATAAAAGTACAGCTCAATGTTTATCACCGTCAATGAAGCTGTAAATTACCCGCTTCTTAGTTTCATATCATTAGATTTCTAACTATCGTATAAAATTGGAGTAATTTATTGATCTTTAGTTAAACTTAATGAATTTGTTAACCATATCATTCTAACTCTATAAAATTATTGTTGTTTTTATCGTCTGTTTTTCACTTGCATTTCTAATGTTTCATATTACTGTTTTATTATGGTTTGTTAGTAAGTGTAGCGTTTTCACAAATTATTCCTAGTGATTTTTAGAGTTGTCGACAGTCTTCACTATTTTGACACATTTGAGAAAAGCAAGAATAGTGAATGTAGCAGTATAACACAAAATAATCAATTTTATGGTTTCTGTTTAACTGCTAACAAACTAGGAACAATGGTACTAATTCTTTAAAACTAATGTACATACTTTACATCATCTCAATGTGGATTAATAACTTAACAGTAATAAATGTACTTACCCTTCATGGAGAAGTATGGGCCTCACACCAGCATTATCCATCGAACCTCGTCTTGTAAAATTCTTTCCAGTTGCTATTCATTCTTTTCATGTATGCTCCCAACTCCCGAATTAGTATGTTCTTTGGTTTTCCTCTTTTCCTTTTGCCTTTTCGTCTGCGTACAATCCTCCTTGTTCATCGATGATACTGTCCAGGTACGTGGGATTTTTCACCTCTTCTAGAACTTTCCCACTAAGTGGATCGGTCATGCGCAGACCAAATTGCAACATTACGGATCATCGTCGAACAATCAATTAATTGGAACTCGTCACTATACATCAACTTCATTGATTATGAAAAAGCATTCGACAGTGTAGATAGGAGAACGTTATGGAAACTTCTGAGAAGACTGTCAACATTATCCAGATCTCATACGACGGACTACAGTGCAGGGTCGTGCATGGAGGACAGCTGACAGATGCATTCCAAGTAAGGACCGGAGTCAGACAAGGCTGTTTACTCTCTCCCTTCCTCTTTCTTCTGGTGGTCGACTGGATTATGAAGACCTCGACATCTGAGGGAAAACACGGCATACAATGGACAGCTCAGAACCAATGAGACGATCTGGACTTCACGGATGACCTAGCCCTCCTATCGTATACACACGAACAGATGCAGATAAAGACAGCCAGTGTAGCAGCAGTCTCTGCATCAGTAGGCCTCAACATACACAAGGGGAAAACCAAGGTCCTCAAATACAACACGGGGAACAGCAATCCAATCACTCCTGATGGCAAAACTCTGGAAGATGTAGGATCCTTCACGTACCTAGCAAGCATCATCGATGAATAAGGAGGTTCAGATGCAGACGTAAAGGCAAGGATTGGCAAAGCAAGGGCCGCATTCATTTAATTGAAGAACATATGGGACTCAAAACAACTTTCAACCAATATCAAAGTCAGGATCTTCAATACGAACGTCAAGGCGGTTCTACTGTATGGAGCTGAAACTTGGAGAACTACAACAACCACAATCAAGAAAGTACAAGTATTTATAAATGGTTGTCTACGCAAGATACTCAACATCCATTGGCCGGATACCATCAGCAACAGCCTTCTGTGGGAGAGAACAAACCAGCTTCCAGCTGAAGAAGAAATTAGGAAAAAACGATGGAAATTGATAGGTCATACATTACGCAAAGCACCAAAGTGCATCACGAGGCAAGCCCCAACATGGGATCCTGAAGGGAAAGGGAAAAGAGGAAGACCGAAGAACACATTGCGTCGGGAAATAGAAGCAGATATGAAAACGATGAATTACAACTGGAAGGAGCTAGAAAGGATTGTCCAGGACAGGGTTGAATGGAGAATGCTGGTGAGTGGCCTATGTTCCTTCATGAGGAGTAACAGGTGTAAGTAAGTGATTGGATTGGTTGATGTTCATTGTGTTGTATTTGCGGATTTTGGTTTTTCTCTTGTGTATGTTGAAGCCTGCCAGTTCAGAGGCTGTTGCTGCATTGGTTGTCTTGACTTGCATTTGTTGGTGTGTGTGAGATAGAAAGACCAGATCATCTGCGAAGTTCGAATCTTCTAGTCGCATGTAAGCTGTCGATTATATTCCGTGCTTACCCTTAGATGTGGAGGTTCTCATAATCCAGTCAACCACTAGAAGTAACTGTGATGTTTGTATAAACGATTTATTCCTCCTCCTGACTTCAAATTCCAAATACGTTACGTTTGTTCGTGCTCGTCTAGTTCTTTTTGGTATAAATTGCGTCATTTCTGGGATTCCTAGTCCGTACAATGATTCAAATACTTATACTCATCCCGGAAACACAAAGGCGGAGAGTGAGCAGCCTTGTCTGACTCGGGTCCTCACTTGAAATGCGTCTGTGAGCTGTCCTCTATGCATGACTTTGTAGTGTAGTCCGTCGTATGAATTTCGTATGGCGTTGACGATGTTCTACAGTACACCATAGTGAAGGATGAAATTCCAAAAGGTCCACCTATCCACACTGTCAAATATTTTCTCATAATCAAGGGGGGTGATGTATAGTGACTAAATCCATTCATTTTATTGTTCAGTGTCGATCCTTAGTGTTGGGATTTCATCCGTCCACAACTGATCATTACGGAATCCGGTTTGTTGATCTCGAAGTTGGGCATCTACTGCATGTTTCATCTGGTTCAGCAACACTGTTGAAAACCTTTCCTGGTACTGACTAGTGTGATGCCTCTGTAGTTGAGTTCTCATACTTAATCAGACCTCCTTTCCTTGGTATCTTGATGAGCTATTCTTCTTTCCAATCTGTCGGCACCTGTTTCTGCTCCCAAATCGTCCTGAATAGAATGTGTAGCATGTTTGCAGTTACCTGTATGTCTGACTTCAGTGCTCTTTCTGGTATGCTGCCAGGTCCTGTTGCTTTCCAACTCTTGATTTACCTGATTTATCCGATCGTTGGTGGAGTGACATCTATAGCAAGGTCTGGGCGTGCTGCTTCGATGTCCGGTGGGTTTAGTGTGGCTAGTCCATCCAAGAATTTTTCGTAGTATTCTACCCATCTCTTCCTCGGTTCTTGAATCTCGGTGATTGTCTTGCCTTCTTTGTCCTTGACTGGTCTCTCTGGTTTGCTATATCTCCCTGCTAGTTTCTTCGTTGCGTCATATAGTTGTCTCATATTTCCTCTTGCAGCTCTTTCCACTGTCGTTCCTAGCCCTCCCACGTATTTCCGCTTGTCAGCTCTAATGCTCTTCTTCACTTACGTGTTTGCTTCTGTGTATTCACCTTGTGCCTTAACTTTCTCCGATCTTGTTCGGCTGTTGTTAATTGCCGTATTGTTGTTCTTCGTTTCTTGAATCTTTTCCAGTGTTTCTATAGAGATCCATTCCTTATGATGATGCTTCTTGCGGTCCAGCAACTCCTGACATATTGAAGTTAGTGCTTCTTTTATCCCTTTCCCGTTGTCCTTCGTCGTAGTTTCTTCTTCTTTGAGTAGATCTTTTAAGGCTTTGCACCTGTTGTTGAGAGTTATCTTGAATTTGTTGAGTTTGTCAGTATCTCTAAGAAAGGCCGATTTAGACCTTTGTTATGCTTTTTCTCCACTTATCCATTGCTACTTTAGCTACAGTTTCATCTTGGCTACCACCAGTTGATGATCTGAAGCTATGTCACTTCCTCTCCTAATTTTCACGTCTCCCATTGACTTTTTGAATTTTTTAGTGATGCCAGTATGACCTATTTAGTTTTTCGCAGTGTGATCCAGTACGACTCATGTAGCTTTGTGTATAAGTTTGTGGGGGGAATACTGTGCCGCCCATAACCATTTTGTTGAACGCACATAAATTTGCAAATCTTTCACGATCTCCGTTCATTTCTCCCAGTAGTTTGTTTGTTCTGGTTAAGGTTATTTTCTACAGGACAGGATTTTTGACCCCATGTCAAACCCTCCTCCTTTGTCCTGGCTTGAGACCGGTAGTAACCCCAGAAAAGCTACAGGCGTAGTTGGCAATAAATGTGGGAGAATTATATTCATTATTCAACTATTAGTACATTTTCATGATTTTTCCATATTAATAACCGTTACTTTACTAAAATTCATCAATGTGATATATAGTATATACGCTGATCTTAAATAATTAATATCGTTCTTTTTAGTTTATATTAAGAAGAGAATTTAAAAAATAAATGAATTTATATTATTCTACTAGGTTCGCTGATCCTATCTTATGTTTCTAGAACTCTTCGTCAGATACTATGAATTTATTTCTCGATACACAATCACAGTATTATATTAATAAATGTTCTGTTTTACTGCTCGTAATTCGTCTGTTTGTTCATTCGCTCATACCAAACATGGTGAAAAAATCTGAAAGGTTAGAAAATATTTTGTGAAATCTACTCGGCCTACTTACAAGTAGTGGAGTAATCTCTGCCAAAATAATATTCCAGAGAAAATAATTCTTGAGCAGTAAACATGGCCTGAAACAAATTCAATAAACTACAGCTTATAAATCATTAGTATAAAGTAGAACTAATTGATTCTGGGAAATAGAAACGCAACTCATTGCAAACGGGCAAATTTGTTATGTTGTTTCAATCTAAGTTGTCCGTTTCTCAAATATGTGTATAAGAAAATTGAGGTGCTGGAAATGAATAGAAATTAATACATGACTTCCCTGTGCATATTTTGATTTCAGTGTAATCCTTGACAGTTCGAAAACGTTTGCTGCGATTTTTGAAGTTTGAAGCTGGATGAGTTAGTTAATAATGTCACGATCCCTTTAGCCGTATGTTCATGTCAATTTAGCACCGTAGGAAAACTTAAAGATAGCTTTTGACCATAGCATTATCAATGAAAAGTATGTATACAGACAAAAAAATACAAATTCAAACTTGGTGTCTTTATAGAGAAGTGACTTTGACATTGAATGACCATACTTCCACCCATTAAGTCACAAGATCAAAAACTATGATCCACTTACGTCATCTTGGAAAGCATAGTGGAATCACTAGCCTTCACACACATAAATTGACTCGAAGCCTAGTGTATTAATCTTCATTCGCTTATTAAGTTATATCAAATTAAATTTTTACAAAACGCCTTAATTGGTTACGTATGACTGATTTTAAAACACGAAATCATAAAAGTGAATAAGTTTGCTTATATGATCAGTAATTTAATTACGATAAAGTTTAATATATATTTTATTATTCTTTGCTTAATATAAAATATACTTTAACTTGACTGTAAATAATTCATCAAGTGCATATCTTTGTATTTCAGTGTAAAAAATGGCCTATTCAGAGTGTACGACGGGGCAAGAACTCTTGATGATCTCAGAGTTTATGTGAAATCTGAAAAATATGAAACTGAAACACCTTTACCATGGTATTACTCACCAGCATCTTTTCAGTAAATTTTTACTTGTTATTTATAATATTTTCCTTCTATCAATTACATAGTATGCATATTTTCATACGTTTCATGGATCTTGGCATTTTCATTACGGTTTGTATTTATAATTACATTTAATTGTTCATTAACCTGGTTTATTTATAGAATACTCATCAAGCATTTTTAGATGCTGGTTATAGTAATTGGATGTCATTTTTGATCATTGGTCTATCGACTATATTTTCCGGACTGTTCATTGGAATTGTAGGTTTTACAAAACAAGAATATCTATTTGTAATTTTTTTCTTTTAGATACTTGTATTGATTTTTGATTGTTTTTTCCCACCGCGTCCACAAATCCTAAGATTTATTAGGAAACCTAAAAAGGTGGAAGAATCTGTAAGTCTTGCTCTTTTTTTGCCATGACTTAATTATTCATTTAGTTTGTTTTGCATAAATAACGGCTCACTGATTTCCAGTCAGTAGGGTGTTGGTCCTAACTCAGTCCTTAATTCAGTTTGGATAGTCGAGCAGAGTATCACTAGCCCTCATATAAATAGTATTGCTCAAAGTGGAGTACATAATTTCGTACTTGGTGAACAGATCACACTGTTATGTTTTCATTACTGACCAACCATGATTTTTTGATTCAACGCTAGAACACATAATAGCTAGCATGAGAATCAAAGAAAATTATAATAAGGAGTCGAATATTAATGGTAGTTACGTAAAGTTGGTAAAGGAATTTAACAATTAAGTCAGAGGGAAACAAAAAAGGAAAATTGAGCGTCGATTTTGTTATTGACCACTATAGGGAGAGCAGTTTTAAAAATTCCTTGCGAAGCCATTCATTTGGTTTGTTAAGATGGATATGAGTAAATTTCAGGTAAAGACTAAATTAGTCATCTTATTCTCATTACACGGACAATTTCGTAGTACATGCTAGTAAGATGACAAATCTAACAACACTCATCCGTCTATCACGTTCACCCTAGGTTAGGAATTTAATTAAAATATCACTTTTTTAAGTGTCTTGTTAATAAAGAGATCAAGTGGAACGTCAAAAGAAGCTATGCACAGGAAATTAACATCAACTAGTCAGCAAACTTATCTTACACCTGGTGAAAACTCTAACATATCGCGACAAGCCTATTTATTTTGATCAACTAATCGGAGATGAGTTAAAGGATACTCACAACTTACTGTGAACAGATACCTAATAAAGTCACTCCTTTAGTCAGCTGCAACGTAGGACCAGGCACATATATGCATCGGTCCAAGTTGCCATACCTCATTAACACAACAAGATGGACACCGGATTCATATAAGTAGTTAATTCAGAGGTGGTAATATATAAAAAAAAGATTACAATAAGGATATAGTACAGGAAGAAAAAATTAGTTCGTAGAAAGAAAGATATGAAGCGATTTCAATCTCATAGTTTAAGGGAAGATAGAGAGTGTATACACCGACACCATTGTGATCGATTCTGAGCCATATCACCAAGAGTCTCCAACCATTGGTTACGATAGTCACGCGGACCCCAACCAAGTAGTTTGCATCTCCCGAAATGGCTCAGACTAGAAGTTAGTGACTTCAGGAACTGATGCCACGTTTTGGTTTGGCCGCCCCTCACTTTCTTCCAACCATCTCCAAAACCGGTTAGCATTGTGCGTCATGGTAATCGGTGTTCAGGCATATGTAACACGTGGCCCAACCATCTCAGTCGATGAAGATTCACAACCTCATCAACTGATTTACCATCATTCCCTAATACCCTTGTGTTTAACCTCACTATTAATTAGCTGGTGATCACAGCAGATGCGAGCGTCTGTGGTCAAAACAGAACGAACTTCCGCGCAGTATACTCGTCCTTTTATTGATAGACGGATAGCTCGCCTTCGCCAAAGGTGACGTAAGTTGGCAAAAGCCAAGCGAGCTTTTCGAATCCGTGCTGCGATTTCGTCAGATATGAACCCATTAGGGCTGATCAGACTTTCAATATAAGTGAAGTTGCCAACGCGTTCGACTACTTCACTCCCTATCCTTAGTTCAGGTGTTGACGCAGCCCAGTCCTGAAGCAACAACTTGCATTTAGAGGGAGAGAAGCGCATTCCAAACATTCTGGCATTGTTGCTTAGTGCTACCAAAAGACTCTGCATTTTATCAGCGTCTTCACCAAACAGGACTATGTCGTCTGTGTATTCTAAGTCGATAAGTGGACCTCCTGGTGGGAGTTCAATGCGCGAGAATTCAGTCGACGAGAACGTTATTTCTAGCAGTAGGTCTATGGTGAAGTTGAACAAAAATGGAGAAAGTGGACAGCCTTGACGGACACCAATTAAAGTGTATTGCTATTTAAAAACTAGTTTTAGGAATACCTGTTACTTTTAGGAGTTTTTATTATCGAATTTTATGTTGGTCTCTGAATAATGTCTGTTGATGAATTGCATAGTATATCCATTCAGACGGAGATATAGGTGATATGAAGTTAGTTATTTAAGTAGAGTACATTGAAAATCTAAATTTTACTGCTGTTTAGTTTACATATTCTCACAATTTAAAATAATATATAGCTAAGGCAAACATAGGATTACTCAATCTTTATCAGTGGTTTTAAGTCATACTAGTAAACGTTACTACTAATGCTTCTTTCTGAATCCATTTTTTTGCGTGACCTTTACTCATTCCCGATTGCTTGTCACTACTTTTAGTTCACTTATTTGCTGTGTGCTCAGAAGTCATGTTCATGTTACTGAGTTGTACTATTTTAGACTGCCCGAATGCCATATTTTCCTTACCTTTCTGTTTTCTGTGTTTGCGGTCAATTGTTATGTGCCCAACTGCCGTTATAGAGTCCGAAATAGGACCGTTCGTATTAGTATAACTCAATTTTTAATTCATAGGTGTCTTAGGCAAACCAGAAACCCCGAGACATAATCGTTTTTTTCAAGACATGACATATTTTCGTATGTGATAGAATCTCATTCAGAGAGTACCACTGTATCTTTTTTTAATTTAATATGTTCTTCAGATATTTTAAAATAACTTTCTCATGTTTTTAGTTACAGTATGAAACAGAAAAATCCAGGTCTGATGTTCACGATGACAATGTACCAGAGGAAAATGTAGATGATGAGATTACGGAAATTCGTCAAAGGAAGGTCGATAATAATGAAGTTCATGATTCATAATCTCATGTATTGCACAGATATTTACATATGCTTAGTTTCTTTCTAATATCAGTTTCATTTTTTTTCAATTGTTTTGGTTTCCGAACTACTCTAGACAACTTTTACATACTCGATTGGTTATCGAATTAGACCGTTTTGATCTAATGCGGTTATTCATGCCTTAGTATGTAAATTGTAAGAGTTAACTAAATGTGAATATTAGCGCATACGGGTATAATGGCTTACTAATAATATATTTAAAGTAACTTGGTCAAATTGTAAACAACTTGCTGTATGTTTAAATTACACAAGTATAAGAAATGGTAAAATGAGCGGTTTTCCAGTTATGGTACTGTTGTATAGCTTCCAACGAGTTTTCTTTCTTTTTGTGTTCGGAAATATCATCATTTCCTATAATCTACAGAAAATTTGACATATTAGTGGATTGGAACAGCTACTTTAAATATCTCTGACCACATGAAAATTCTCATTTACGGAATACCGGACAGGGGGTAAATCGCGCTTGCAGAAATCTTAGTTATGATTCATCTTTTTGTTAGTATAGTTGACACCGTATAAAGATCATGCTGATGTCAATATCTTGAGTGTATTAGGTAATTGACTTTCAAAATGTAGCAAACGCAAATAAGCAATTCATAAAATGTGGAAAACAACTTGCATCTCGTCAGGTTGAAGAGAGATATTCTAAAAACAGCTTATTAGTTTATAAATTAATTTAAAAAATCTGTTAGTAAATAGTTGGGGAAAAAACAAGATTAATGCTTGTTTTGGAACGATCCAATCTGCCTTAAAAAGCATATATTTTAAGTTCTATTAGTAAGTTTCTTCATGTCCTACTTTTCTTCTAATATTATTATTATATAACGTAACGTTGTTGATATTTACGGATGTTTATTGCAATATTGAGTGAAGTACGCTAAACAACCACCCCAATAGATATAGAGTAAAATCCGAAAGTTATTACCTCCAATATTTTGTCACGCCTCAAATCAGAGCAGTAATAGAATAGGGAAACAAAGAAGTAAGTTACAAGACTTCTCGTAGTAGATAACCAAAGCTATCACAAGACTGCTAATAATTCAAATAAAATAATGGACGAAAACACAGATGACTCTTAGAATTGTCAAATGAAAGAAATCAATAATTTATACTCTCATAATCTGATGTTTCTCATAAACACCAGTTTCTCTGACACATCAAAGCCTGGAAACAGTTCATCATCTCAAAACAATAGCTATGAAAATGGATGACGGTGATATTTCACTGGAAGTCCAAGTATACCACAAGCTGAATTCATCACTACAGACGAATAACATGGCGAAATAAGTTTATTCCACAAATGTAAATCATTTTCTGTTATGCGAAAAAAATAGTTATTTGCACTTTACAAAATCGACTGTAAAAGGTTTCGTAACGATACTGTTTCACAACTTATCAGATAATAGCAGTGCATTATGCTGTAAACATGTTTACATAGTAATCAATAAGGAAAGATGAGTCTATGAAAAGCCGAAGTGTTCGTGGTCATAGTGATCAGGAAATTAGACATCACGGAAAGACCCTATAAAGCAAGCTTACAATGTGGCCAACTGCCGAATGTAAATATCATGAAATGCTTGACAGGACATTGAATTACTGAAGTACAAAGCGATAGGCCCAAATGACAAGTACGCTTGCTACCTCATTGCCTCTTATCTTACTGGACTGCGAAAATTTCGAGATCACAATGCAAATAATTCTAATCTAGCAGAAATGTATATCTGAAGTACAGGGAACTTTTATGTTATCAGTTGACAGCTTGAAATAGCAATACCTAATAAACATACTTCCTGTCACGAGTATTATTGATGGTGGATTTCTCGTATGATGTAAACCGTTGACTGTAACGAGAACCGCTCCAATTATTTGTACATGAATACGGGGATCGTTCACTGAATGTGGCGACGAATAGTTAGGCTGTTTAGAGTTTAGATTCCGAAATTAAATCAACCGTAATGTACAGGTCGCACCAATTAAATAGCATAATCTCTGTTGTGTCTGATCTGTTCTAACTTTAGTCGAAATTAATAGAACCGGTCAAATGGACTGAGCAATCAAGAAGGAAAAAGCGAATTATTTATTCTCCCTTCCCAATGGGACTCTTCCTTCACATAATTTGGGAATTTTTATTAAACATTGTAGACTAAATTAGATAATGCTCATAAACTGACGTTACCCTAAATGTTCTACTCAGAATGCGTTAAGGTAACAAGAACTGTCGTTTTGTCACTAAAAATAAGTACCATAAGCATTCAGGAATCATACATTATCAATGAGTGTTGTTTGGCGATGTTATGTTTTATGTTTAAGGAACATTAAGAAGTTTGCCAGATAACGTATACTAAAAATGCGCAAAATATGAATCTTGCCAAACAACTATAGAAGAAATATGTCATTTTACTTAATGAAATTACATTTGATTTCAGTTACTCAATTTTAATATATACCTAGGTATCAGTTGTCATTATTTTTTTCTTTCTATGGTAAATACAACTGCACGCTGAACGCAGCATTAAACATTTCTTACTTATTTTATCGAGTCTTATTGCAGGTTTTATTAAAGGTATTTAGTAGAAACCAGTACTCTTTCGCTGTGCTGATGTACGACGAGGCAACAACTTGAGCTCATACACATCTGCTACAGGCCTTATATGGTGATGAAGACTGATCAGCCCCAATCAATCTAAAATATGCTCTACACAATTTATCACTTTCAAAAAATCAAACATTACGTAGCCATGAATTTAATTAGATTCTTTAAATATTGGATTTTTTTCTCAAAAGTACATATTTCTGCACAGTGCTATGTAGACAAAATAGTGATATAGTAAACAAATAAATTTGGTCATTACCATATACCAAATAAACATATACACAAGATTAAGACCCTAAACAAAATAGGGAAATAATCATTCCATATAGGTGTGAATCATCATATCCGGCAATAATCCAAAAGTTTCTTTAGAAGTGAATGCTAACAAGCACTTATTGCAAAGTAATAACAAAGTTCAGTAGATTGTTGTAAACAAAGTATTGACAAATTTACTTTTGTTTTCAAAACCATCTTATGATGACTTGATTCGATAGCTTCAGTCACATTATAAGGAATTATGATATCAGGCTTAAAAAATATTCGGCTAAGGTTAATTATTTTCTGACAATTACCTACTTTCCCGGTTAAATAGCGTTTCAACTAAAACACATAACAGTTATTAGCAAGAAAAAAATTAAGTATGCGGGAGCTAGAAAAAAGGAAACAAATCATGCAATGGTTGGGAAAGCCTGTCAATCTACAACATGACTTCAGGGGTAGTGAGATGGCTTCAAGAATTGATTTATAGACTAAAAGTTGTACTGAAAAAGGTCCTATCAGCACCCGTGCTGGTCTCTTTGTACTAAACGAAAATGTCATCGCAACGGTCAACTATGGGTAAGTGCCCGACTTATGTAACCCTCTACTGTGCCTAGTAGTTTACTTACGTGCCAAAGTACATAAATTTAAAAAAAAAGGTTTTGCGTCCGCATCTCTGAACATGTTCCACAAAATAAACGAATAATATTTTCAGTAGTGTAAGCACTTGTCATTTACAGTGGATATGGTGTTGATAATTCAAAATTCTTTAAAATAACCAATAAACAAAAAAAATCGAATCTGTTGAGCCTCACTGGATTGGTCATTTTTTAAGTATTATATGAACAATGACAGGAATCTCCGATTTCGGAGAATTTTTTTCTTCGTGCTCTTTATAGTTCTCTCTTCTAGAATATTTAATCTATAAATGAATAAACAGTCATTTAGATAATTCTTTCACAACTGTTTTTTTATTAATCCACATATCAGACCCAACTGTAATTAAGACTTCATTTGAAATATGTACACTCGTATTTTTTTCTCAAAATGATTAATACTACTGTTTCTAGACTGTAAGCGGCTGACAAGAAACCACGAAATAAATTAATCCTAATTATTCAGCTACAGTTCTTATTCTTAATTTATTTATAAGTGAAAATAAATGGAAATAGAGAACTTTAAAATCTTTCCTCTGGTGAATCAGCTCCTACATATCTAGGTGTATGTTTATTAAACAATTTATTTATGGTATTTTATTATTTTCCTAATTATGAGCTTCCGTTTGACGCATTAACTGTTGCCATACATTTTTCCATTCATAAATTATACAATTTTACCACATATGAGATCACGTGAGTTTAATAATAATACAAGATACTGTACTAGCTTGCTAGTATTTCGATTGATTGGAGATTGGTGGACATTTATGTGGCCAAATCGGTGTATGTATATAACTTAGCAGAGCTAAAAAGTTAGTTTCGATAGTGTAATAAGAAGATGAAGATTATCAGAACTATGTGGTATGTTAGCGCAATACACTTCGAACAATCTGATCACACATATACTTGTTAAGAACATTTATGTATAAAAATAAATGGTCAACTAGACAAGAAATAGAGGATAAGAGGAGACAAGGATAATAATAAAAGTGATAGTAATATGAAACTTAATCACTCTGGATAATAAGCTAATATTTCCAGGGTAGGTTTAAGATGAGAACAGTGTTTTTTGAATACACAAAGGGAGTTTGGATTTTCGGATGGCTAAGGTTTCAATAAAACTCAGTATACGCCCTTTTACACAACACCACAAAAGCCGAGCTAAGTTCAATCTTAGGGCCTGTTACGTAATGGTAAACACAGTGCGGTGTGACACAATCATTATCATGTCATTTAGGTTCTGGATGAAGCATGAACCTTGTTCTTTCTTTGATAATGACCTTCGCTGCTCAATACGTTTTGTTGATGACTGATTTAATCCTTTTATTTCAATAAAAGGCTATTTGAATCACCTCTAAATGGTGATTTTTATGTATAAATTTTCTTAACAAGTATATGTGTGATCAGATTGTTCGAAATGTATTGCGCTAATATATCACATAGTTCTGATAATCTTCATCTTCTTATTACACTATCGAAATTTATCAAATGGACTAATTGCTTTAAAAAGTTGGTGTTATTTGCGTAAACGAGAAATACAACAGCTCTGACTAATTATTTATGTATGAAACTTACTAGCTGGTAAAAACAAAAGTGGAATTCGAAAATGAAACCCAATAGTTGGACATTAAATGCTGTAATGACTAAACGGCCCTGGTGAAAATTAGGCAGAAATTTAAATTTTTTAACAGGAAAAATGTGTATATATTTTTTCATACATCCAGACAAAAAAAGATAAATCCAATCAATAAGAGGAAAAATCCAATTAAAATTACATGGTTGTGAATTGTACTGAAGAGGTTAAAGTGACAGCATACTTTTGGATTTGTATACATAAGCGAAGGAAGTAATTGGTAAGCAAATAAATAATTCAATATAGGAACGTTCATTTAGGAATTTCATCATTAGTACAAATTAAAATATGTAGTAAAATGTTGAGGCTTATGTTTTTCTATACTCACAATGCGTGGAGCTGAACCGTGAATTCTTATAAAAATGGGTTCAAATACAGGTATGTAAAATAATTTAGAAGAACTTCCTAATAAGAATCACTTGTAAAATAAATTCTTCAAACAGAATAGTCTTCATTCAATGAATACCGACTAATAACAAAATGAAAAACAAATATAGAAACGTTCAAACAAACCGGAGGAATAAGTTTCCTCTGATCACACCAACGAAAAAACGTCAATTTGAGTTAAGAATCATGATGATCAGCACTAAAAGGTGTTTAATTAAAGCTAAACCATTATACAATTGCTTATAATTCAATCACATTAAAATTTCATCAGTCATAAATAAGTAGGTGTTAATCATTAACATTTCTCTGTCACATTATTTTATTTAGGATCAAACCAATGTAAAGTATGATAGCAAGTAATGAAACTACCATTTAAGATATTGATTACTCCCTTCTGAAAAACAACAATTTAATCATAACATCATTCTTACCAGTCATAGTTACAAAGATTTATCGTTATTAGAAAAAATATTATATGTGAATAAAACAAACAATATCAGATATTACTAGCGTAAACAATGATTTATAATCAGAAACAATATATGATTTTATACTTTTTATCACAAATTTCATGTATTAAATGAATATTCATAGAACAGAATAAAAGGGAAAGGTATTTGTAATAATCCTAGTGAATATATAACCATTTATATTCTTACATATGTTAATATATTACTTTGAAACTTTACAAACAAACAAAAAATTGTTTAATGTTCTGGCCAATTTTATTCCTTTACCTCTTTCCTTAAAAAAAAACAAAACAAACTAGCATAAACGATTATAATATAAGGATAACATTAGTAGTAATAAGGATGGAAAAAACTTAAAAAGACTATTAGAGATCTGTTATATATGAGATTTGTAAAACCAAAACAAAACAACAAAAAAAAAAACAATATCCAAACAAGAGCAAACAAACAAATTGAAAAGGCACATGAAAAACAAAAGGAGTATGATAACTATCCAGTGTAAGAAAGTTATCATAACCTCCTTCTTATATCTTTTTATACAGAACTGAAATATACTATTTCGTTAGTAATAATGGTATACAAGGTATTACCAAAAATGTAGAGATTAACTGGCATGCTGAAATTGCAAAGAAAATTTTCCAAAACATAAGATTATTACTATGTGATAGAATTTTTAGACTAGATTATCCGTCTGAAAAAAAAGTGGGAAGCAAATGTTATAATTAATGGCAGCGACAAAAAAAACCCAAGATAAGCTGACAGTAGTTCTTTGTGCCTGTTTTGGCGTGGGGTTTGTGTGTTCTTCTTAGTCAATAAATAAAAACTTTTGCCGTGAGCATTATTCTTTATGGTAACCATTACGAAGTGCTTGTTCAGAATTTCTTTTCGATGGTGGTACTAAATGGGCAGGAAGTGTAGGCGGTAATTCGTAGCCTTCTAGTTTTAATTTCATTATATAACAGACTAAAGCGAATTCATCAGCATCTAGACAACCATCACGATCAATATCACCTAGTATCCAAATATTTTTCAATGCACTATAAGGTAAATTGGATTTGACCATATGACTACGTGAAGCTTCACCACTGATTTTACCATCCACAGGATTTAGTTTGTCAAACTCCTTTAGAATGAAAAAAAATGCATAGAAATTATATAATATTATTATCAATATACAAAAAAAATTCATTGAAACCTGGAAATTATCAATTTCATAAGGTTAGGAATAAGCCCTGATGAGTAACTGGATCCCATGTTCACTCTAGACTTATACCAATTAATAATATTTCAAAATTATTAGAAACTGTTATTTGTTAGAAATGGAATGATTGAAGTGCTCCAACTGATAAGTTTTTAAAAATGATTGATCTTCAAGTCATAAAAGAATAGACTTAAGTTAAATATATTTATAAACATTGATAGTCGTATTACAACTCGAAAATTCTAGTAAAAATTGTACTAGACTAATACATAAGTTGTATTCACAACTTTCGTGCTTGTACAACACAGTTGTTATATTTTTAATGGCTTGCATTACGAAGTGACCGTAATCAGATAACTATTCGAAACTAGGCAGCGCTTGACAGCAGTTTTGTCCTAGCACAGGACTCAGAAGTGGACACTCAAAACATCACCAGGAATTGAACTTCGGATCTTCAGTTCTCATGTCCAGAGCATGACCTTTGGACCACTGCGGCGGCATCCTTTGGTCTTCGTGTCAAAGTGCAATATTTTTATGATGTAACACATCCATATTACAATGTAATCTGTAGGTAACTGCCTCATATCAAACATGGCTGGACTCCCCTGATTACAGTTTCTTAACAGGACTCCGAGAATTACCTATCGAAACTAGTTAGTAAAGAGCATACATGGTAATTTTCAGTATAAGATGTTTGTGGAGATTGTTAAGTTTCATAGTTTATATCAAAGTCTAAAGATTAAACAATAGCCGCACAATCCGCAAGTCCTGGTCTTGATTCACAGTGGCAGTGTTCACAGCTGACAAGTCCTTCTTGACAATTGCTCCCTGGTTTTCAATGGTTGTTTAGCTAAGGTTAGGTTGTGATATGAACCATGAAATTTAATAATCACCATGGTTTTCCTAAACTTATTATTACATTTTCATTTATTTGTGTACCTGAACTAGACGAAGGTTTTCTATATGGTGAACAGTTGGTTTTACTTTTTGAATATAACTGCAAATTAACTGGTGACAGTGGTAAAAACGAATGTCATATTGATTAACACAAAATTCGAAAGAGATCAATACTTTAAAGGGTCATATATAGAATTGATACTGTGAATTTTTATACTGTCTTAAAAATGTGATAATTAATTAATGCTAAATATTCCGACGCACTTCTAGTAAGAATTGATATTCAAGCACAATAATTGATTTAATAAAATTGAAACATGACTGAAAAGCATATGAATTTTGCAGTTAATTAAAAGTCATGGATATCAGGGCACAAAATTAAATACACATTTATGCACACATTAATAATTAGATGATGAATGGCAACTTAATGGTTAGAGCAATAGAGCAGTATTCTTAAAAGTTACCAGTTTAAACTACACGTGACTAACTTTTGATTTGGACAGCTAAGTAATACAACTAATACTGGCATTAAATGCATAACTTAGATTCATGTAGATGATCTGGGATTACGTAACTAAAATGCGTTACTTATGATCATTTTAACACTCCATTAAGGTGTGAAATTTCAGTCCCTCAGTTACTATCTGCTTTGCTTCGAAATGTATTCGTGAAATATAGGAAATAAGAAGTTACATTGAAGGATATATATATAGAGAGAGAGCAGGAATTTTCTTTGTGAATCCTATCAAAACATCCTATTTCTGGGTAGTGTTCAATCAGTATGAGAAATATGGAATAGAAAATAGTTCAAAATTAGTATCACTAAAAAGGATTTATACGTATGTTTTCTTGCAAACAGCTATTATAACGATCCATAAGAAACAATCTTCTTATAAGTACATGTTGATACAATGTAAAATAGAACTAATGTCTTTAAATTATACTGTTGTTTTTACAATTTTAGAGCAAAACTAAATATGTCACATAGATGATACAATTGACGTAATTGTCAAATTTATTTCAATGATAAATTTCAAATGGATTTATTTCATATTAGATACAGATTTCAAACTTTCTTTAAAGTATCTTTTTCTGGACACAATATTTCCTTTTAAATGGTATAAACAAATTTTTATTTAAAATTTTAATCATTGCTATAATTATCTACAGATAGTAGAGAAGAGGCATAGAAACTGAGTACGTACAACTAGTGAAGTAATAATAATAATTTATATATATATATATATATATATATATATAAGCGGGTACAAGTATTTGTACTAATGTTAGTGAACTTATTCATTTTTACATATGATATTAGGACGATATGTGATTGACTAAAGCTGAATGTAAATCCTAGTAATATTATTATTATTATTATTATAACTGACTTTATTAAAACATAATTCTTGTGTAATAATTACCAGCAGATATTTTTATTCAATTTTATTTTGATTAACTGTCAGTGTAATTAAGTACAACAACATTGGGTCAGTTATTTTGAAAATAACAGCAAAACCCAAGATCAAATTCAATATGATTATGCAATAATTCTGGTTTAAATATTATAATTTCTTTTTTTTTTCTTAGTACATGTAAGAAGATTAACTCGTCAGCAAACCAGTGTAAATGTGTTATGCTTTCAACTACACGATCATGCAAGCGTAAAAAACTATATATATATATATATATATATATATATATATATATATATATATATATATATATATATATATATAATAGCAGTAGGACGAGACATATGAACCAATAAGGATTAACAACCAAATATTTAAACAATTATGTCACAAGCTTCGTGTAGAATCCTTTACACTAAAAGTGCAATTTGGATCACAAATGACCATATCATCATGAAAAGAAATATGAAGACTGAAAGGATAATCTGAATGACTCAAATAACATAAATGCGGTGCGTTGAAATTTGAAAGAATTCAGTCATTCAATAAAGCTTAACCCTAGTATATTATGCGAATATTAATAAGTTTAATTTGATTTACTCAATAGATATGTTAGTATAATAAAAACCACAATTTTCTCGCAAAATACACGTTACTAAATAACCAAATGAATGTTATTGAGGAAGATATTTTAATCATTTGAGCTTATGCGTGAATATGATTGGAATTTTAACGACATGGAAGAGTGACTTTAAATTTGACGAGACAACTATTTGATGCCAGTTACAGCCTTTTTTTCGTATAGTTTTAAATTAGATAGCTCCGTACATGTAAACCCTCAACAGTGGACACGGGAATACTTGGAACATAGTGAGGTCTGTTGATTTTAGGGCCGACCTTTTTTAACCCTCCTCATCCGTTGTTGGAAATAACATCGCTGAAGATGCAGGTTGTTTGAAGGGAACACTTTAATGCCGTCGAACCCTCATACAGTTGGGAGTAGAAACTTGCCTTCGAATCACGAGGTCGCTATTTTTACTGTCATCGTTCTCCAACAAATCTATCTGATCTGAAGAGACGAGTGTTCCGCCCAATATTAGCTCGGTTGGGTTATCACGATATCCAAGCCTCATCACTATGTCTAGGTAGAGGGAACATTGGGATATTTCTCATTCATTTTAGTAAGTTTTACGTTTCTGACTTTAGCTTTCAGATGTTGCTGGAAAATTTAACAGTTTGAAATGATGTACACTGTCAGGTTCAACGCTGCATCACCAATCTGTTATGGTTTTGTAATCATGAAGTCTGATCAGCCCTGATGCATTTGGTGTCTGACGAAACCTTGGTACAGATTCAAAAAGCTCAGCTGGTTTGTAACAAAATGCAAGATTTCCATCTATCAACCAAAGGGCGAGTTCACTTTATTCTACATTATAGGTGTGAAGCGTGGAGATTAAGAACATAGGATATTCGTAAGTTGCTAGTATTTGACCATAGATTATTTCGATGCATCGTAAGCGTATTTTAGGACCACCGAGTGAGCAACATTGAGATTAGATGTAGGGTATATGAAGAAGATAGTAAATCTGTTGATGAGGTAGTGAATCTTTATCAACTGAGACTGTCAGAACATGTATTACGTATGGCCGACCATAACCTACATGTGATGACGGCTGGTTGAGTAGATTGGAAGAAAGCTGAAGGAGACAAAACTAACTCGTGATATTAGTCCATGCAATTATTGACTGTTGGACTGAGCTGCGTATGCAGGTGCAGATAACCTATTTCGGAACGGTGCAATAAACATCACCAATGGTAAGAGATTTTTGGGGACACGGTTCAGAATAGTTTGCAATGACACAAATATATTCTCTCCTTGTCTTTCCATATATCCTAAGCTTCGTAATTATCTTAAAATATTTTTAACTCCACAAACTCTTAGTTTCAAGCCTGATTTTTGCTATTACCGCTGATACTGTTACTGTTTATACTAATTTGGCATCTTGTTGTGCTAATGTGGTGTTGCAGCCTAAACGTATGTGTTGGTTCTACATTGTACATGACTAACCGACTGATACTCTTCTAGAAAACGCATTAAAATCTTTTACATACTTTATATTTCTACTTACTTTATCCCATGGTTCTCTAAAACGATCAACAATCCAATCCTTTTCAAAGCGACCCTCTTCAAATCCTTCACCAGCATGAAAACTGAATGGTGTACCAGAAGTATCGAATGCACCACCTGTAACAGCTGGACCATGTGTTTCTACGATTGCATCACGTTCCTATTAAAAAACAAACCGTTGCATAGGAAGAACGTCAATTTAAATTTGTTCAATAAAACTGTTTACTCTGTAACAGGCATAAAAATAGTATTTTTCGACCAAAGAAAGTTCAAATGACTGTCATCATTAAATATAAAAAAACAATCGAAAAACAACATGATAGTCAGTGTAACGGAAACAAAATTTTTATTATAATTCCATAAAACGGAAGCCAAAACAAATTACTAGTTTGGTATGTAATTATTGATTTCTTAGGAGGAAAATCATTAACAAATGTGTTGACCTACACCTGTTTGCCAAACTAAATGCATAAACTATTACAAAGAAGTATTTCTAATAATTTTTAGGGCTGCCATCTGTATCTAATTATTTGAATGATAATTCATTGATCAATAGGGATTCCTTTTAATATGGGAAAATTTCCTAGATCTAGTATTGCAATGTAACTTGTGGGGTGGAAATTCAGACTAGAAATCGATGCTAATCGACCAGACTTTATGATACAGGTCGAGCACATCACAATCAAGACAGTAATGATGTCAAATCATGGGATGACTGAAGTTGGGAAACATGGATCATGAAATTCTGACCCAAATTACTGGATAATTTTGCACTCATAGAAATGACTGGGAATTATGAAATATCAATCTAGAGCGAAGTAGATGTCCATAGTTCTTTGAATTTATATTATGAAGTGAAATCAGTGGTATAGTATTGCTGATATTGTAAACAATCAATATCGGACATATGTATTAGTATTTAATGTCGAAAAAAATATGCTACATATGTTTGACTCTGAATCACTATTTTAATAATAGTAATTCAACCTTTTAAATGTTAAAAATATTAAAAACAAACAAACATCAAACATGTTTATATATGTTGATATCTGTGTTCAACAATTTGTATCTAAATCAATGGATTGAAATCATCAACTGATAAAAATAATAATAACAATCAGTTACAATTAATTATGTGCATATTTACTGGATAATTAACAATTTATCATTGATAATGACCGTGTAGAGACAGGTTGTAAATTGATGAATGAACTGAGTGGAATAGAACTTCGCACTCTATAGTGTATAAACTATAATTAACACTGCTCTCAATAACATAAAAAAAGGAAAGTAATGAGAAATGTCGAAACAAACTAAAGAGAAATATTAGACGGGAGTGGGTTTGAAGAGGATCGACTTAAGAAGTTCCCTACATGAAATTTATCTCAATCAAAGCTACACTGAATAAGCTGAGACAAATATCTAGTTGTTTTCAATAACCAAAAGTATTGACAATAACTAATGAACCTTAGTTTACATTTTCGGAATTGTCAAAATTTTGCATTACCGATGCCGTCAAACACATCATGACTCCCCTCTTACAACCCATAGTTAAATGGGTAGGTTAAGATTCGTGGATACGTATTTTAACAGTTGAATTCACGCGGCGATCTAAGCTAGACCACCATTAAGAACTTAGAAGCAGTGAATGGTTCTTAATGATGGTCTATCTAAAATCGACCCTTGAATTTAACTGTCAAAATACTACAATCTCCACAAATCCTTATAATGATATTATTCGTGTATTTGCTTTTTTTAAAAAGCCCTTTAGATAAAAAAAAGGATCGTTTGAAATGCATCCAGGCATAAATAATTCGTAACTGGTATGTTTCTAGCTATTAGGACACATGTTAGCAAAAAAGGACCTAAATATATATATATATACACCGCGAACTCCATTAAAGTATCCGGAGTTTTTTTGTCTAAGTATTCAAAAACTATAAAGGCCATAAACTTCCTGAATAAACAATGTTATAACGAATATTGGTGGTGTGAATAAAGAGATATTTGAAACAATCGGTTTTTATGAGAAATATTATCTAAAACCGTATATTTTCACAGGAAATTTTTACACATAATGGGATAAAAGAGTGTTATGTAAAGATGAAAAAAGATTAGACCAAATGTGACCACAATTTATTCAAAAGGTATGATCCGAATAAATCCAAGGGATTTTCAGAATACGATTCACGTGAAAGAAATTTACGGTGACGCCCAATATGTGGTCTAAATTGATGTTCACTTTGGAGAGAGTGAAGAAATTGACCGTCTTGACTATTTCATATATATTTGATCTATTCTTCTGGTTTATTGAAGAACAAAATATCTGGAGGGACAATGAATCTATTCTAACTGACATCAATTCGTAAGACGTGTATGGTAGGAAACATGTCGATCAGAAGTAGAGTATATTGTGAGCTATTTCACTTCGCATCATTCCAAGTCGGTAAATAACAGTCATGTAGAGCAAAAGATCTGAATAGGTTATTAGTATCCTGCGAAAAACATTTTTGAGGTAATCTTTGCGTATAATGAAATCTACTAAGACATAAAGCGCAAATTTAAGACGATAAGTCGGTTGATGGAGTTGTAAACCTTCTACCATTTAGGTGACCAAGCTGTTTATTGTATATAGCCAGCTACCACTCATCACTACTCGTATTGACTAGAATAGGAGCAGACTGGAAAGAGGTAAAAACCCTGATGATATCAAGATATAGTATCACTTCGTGAAATCATTAACAGTTAGTTTGAATTGTGTAGGGATGTGCGAATTTCCTAGTTGGGTACGTAAGATAATTATGATCTATTGTCGGAGAATAGATTATATAATGTAAAAATGTTTGTAATGCAGATAATGTATACATTCTGTATTTTCTTCAGTTTGATGACACTTACTGCAGTAGACTCATTATTCTAGAACCTCTTTCTTTAGTTTCTAACTAATGGTAACATCATCCTATAGATCATGTCGATCTCACTTCATTATGGAAAAATCAAATAAATACACATTTCTGAAAGGTTTTATCTCTGTGTTATAATTTCATCATCATTTCAACTTGGCAGAAACGTAGATATTTTCATTTGAATCACTATTATATTTTCTCGTCAAAAATAGAAACAAACTAAAATTTATTGAGATGTAAATATATCCGAGTAGTGAATCTACGCACTGATTCAACAGTTCTATAACTCAGAAGGGGTTTTGTGGAGATTGTAGTAATTTCAACAGTTGAGATCACGAGTCAATTGAAGCTAGACCACCATGGAAAACCTGGAAGCACTGGACGGCCGTTTCGTCTTATTGTGGGGCTCCTCAGCAGTGCGCATCCACGACCCCGCCTCGCGGGATTCGAACCTAGGACGTATCAGTATCCCTCCAAGTGCTTAACCAACTAGACCACTGAGCCGGCATCCAACGGTGTTAATGTCTAACTTCAACTAATCCACAAAACCCCTTCTGATACTAATCAACATACGCTCACTAGTGACTGGCTTCAAGAGATATATCCTGGAGTTCTAGTGAGAAGCAGTGACCAGTGGAGTTCAACCGGGTTTGTTGTGAGGTAGTAACTCACTGATGACAATGGTGGATGTGTCGCTCAATTTCGTGGATTAGTTGAAGTTAGACATTAACATAGTTGGATGCCGGCCAGCTCAGTGGTCTAGTTGGTTAAGCGTCCACGCGCGAGCCCGATAGGTCCTGGGTTCGAATCCCGCGGCGCAGGATCGTGGATGTGCACTGTTGGGGGGTCCCACGATAGGACGAAACGGCCGTCCAGTGCTTCCAGGTTCTCCATAGCAGTCTAACTTCAATTGACTCATGATCTCAACTGTTGAAAGTTCTATAACTATTGAAAAAATATCATATGAATGAGAATTTGTATCTTAAAAGACGAATAGGCCTTAGATTATTAATGGTTACAGAGATGAAATCATTTATTCAAATCATGTAAGAAGTATTATTAGAGATATCAGTATATATATGGTGAAAGCACATTATTATTAGTAGTAGTAGTAGTAGTCGTAGTAGTAATAACACTATTTATCTAAATCTGTTAGGCATTTTAAATCATAGAACAAATATTGCAAATTTTAATCAACAATAATAAAACATGATCTTAACCAATGAAATTACCATAATATCTACAAAACCCATCTGATATTAATAATAAAACATTTAATATGGTTTTTAGTCCAGTTGTTATTTTAGGGTCACTAAAGTAAATCGATTTAACTTGATATATTTTTTCTGATAAATCTAACCGATTAGTAGAAATATAACTATTATACATGTTGGTTGTATACTAAATTATTATGTATTAGCCTACCAAAAATACTTGTTATTTGTAAACCATATAGATGAATTCACACTTAGAAATTTATAATTCAATTTATTCACTAGACTATTCTTGCGAGCCGTTATCAGTCATAGAGATTCTTTGTGTATTGAACTCAGTAAAGTTGTTTAATTAGATAATAAAACTTTTTAGTCTTGCGGCCCAGTGGAATCTAGGATCTTTAAATTGATTTACATAATATTAACTGGATCTAATTATAACTTACAGTTTTGACACAATTTCCGATATACGAATGAAAGTCATGATGCTTCAATTCTCAGATTGTTATCTACTGAGATATATAAATTGGAATAAACAGCCCTTATCAAATTACAAACAATCAATATAAAAGGTTGACTGTTAGATTTTATTCTTATTTAAAGAAATTACACGTACGTTCATACATCATTGAACAATTTGAGTAGACAACGACAATTAAACCTAGTATTTTATGAGATCAAGGCTATCCAAATCACTAAACGGTTATTTGCAAAAAGACTCACCAAACCTTAAACCGATTTGACGACAACTGATCATAAGAAGAAATAAGCCGACAAAAATAATATCTATAAAACGGGCAAGGATACAACGCAACTAGTGTTACTCTTCCGACTTGGTTTAAAATTTTTGTTGTTTGTAATGTCGTTCCATGACTGTTGCTCTCCCTGTTTCAAATGACCCAGTCTTTTTTCTAACTATTCACTTGTACCCTTATCAATATGTTGAGTACACGCTTCCTTTAGAAAAATCCATTTTTCTACTGAAATTCTTCTCTCTTCGTTACTTATAGCTGCCAAAATCTATGGTAGTGAACAGTAAG